GGCTCAGACTCAGACTCCAATTCTTGAGTTGGCTGAGAGACCGAGAGCTCGGAATTGCCTCGTTGGAGAGGGTTTCTAGTAGCGGCTTTCTCATCTTCGTCTTCCTCTTCAGATTCCGCATCTTCCTTCTCTGCGTCTTCGGTAGCTTCTTCGGTGGCCTCTGTCTGCCCCGAGGCTTCTGGCTCCACAGTTTCCTTCGGCTCAGAAGCCTCCGTCTCATCCGCAGGAGTTATAGCGGCGTTTGGAATGTCAGGTGTGTCAAATCGCTGCTTATGGTTCCGAACGCTTTCCTGGCTGACTTGAAACATAATACCAAATCCAAGTACCAGCTGCGATGGGGCCAAGAAGTTCTTCTCTCCCTTGATTTGAAAAACACCCGTGGGCATGATTCCGCTGCCATTCTCGGCGATTTTCGATACCTGATGAGCATGCGCCCACCAAGCAGACATGACAGCCTTAGAATCCCAAGCAGTGGAAGTAGCAACGCAAAGGTTGCCGGCTTGAGATAGTGTGCTTGGAGAGATTGGTGCGTCTGCACTGCCCGCTCGGTTCTTCACCACGATTGGCGTCGCGCCTTCGAGGTCAGCGTGCACAAATATATCGCCCTTAGACAAGTAACGACGGTAGATCAATTCGCTCTGCATAGCATCACGTGCACTACTAGGATTAGTAGATTTCATAAAACAGTGTTGAATAGAGCCACATACCCTATGACCAAGTAACCCTCCGAAGAGATGAAAAAGATAAATTTCTCGAACCAGAATGGCGTCCGAGCCTGTCGAAGAACTTGCTTTTCTTTCTTCAAGCCTCGCTTCAGGTCGGTCGTCACCTTCTTCTCATGACTCTTCAGTGCCTTCGTAGACGACTGCGTTGTCCTTTGCTCCTTCTCCGAGGCTTGCTTCTTCTGGTCATAGTACTGCGATGCGTTCGCCCATGGGCTCAGACTAAGGTCAATGTCAATGGTCAATAGATTTGACTCTCGTTCCGCACGACCTGTCTCTTGTTCTGCTTCGTTATCTGAGTCGGAGTCTGATTCATCGCTGCTAGAAAACTCCTCGTCTTCATCCTCATCGTCACCGGCCTCTCCAAGAAGTAGAGTGATCGTGTTTTCGTACAGTTTGAGGGGCAACTTAATAGTTTGCGCCACTGGATTGCCGCGATCTTGTTCCATCTCGATCAGGCGCGCAATTTCACCCCAGTCCATTCCCTGAGCCACGAGCCCATTGACAGCATCCATTGCCTCCTGGACTCGGTAAACATTGTCCTGAATAGCATCCGCTTTACGGATGTGAAGTTCTTGCACGGTCTTGAGCTCATCAATCCGCTTCTTGTGTTCTGATCGCACGGATTCGAGCTTCTTCTTGGCTGCTTCCTCGCGCTCTGTCAATCGTGACTCGAGACGCTGAGATTCAAGGGATGAAAAATACTCGTCGACTGTGGCATTGAAGCGCTCGAACTCCAAGATCTTTATTCCTGGTTTGTTTTCAAACTGTCGAGGTTTAAAAGGGTGGAAGTCTTCGTAGAGCAGACCCGGGGCCTTTGACGATGTCTCTCCTTCCGGGATGGGTCGCGTGTCTTCTTTCGCAACAATGTAGCCTGGATGGCTGCCACCAGAATCAAAGCTGTTAGAAATTCGCTGCGCTTCCTCTAGCACTTCTTTCACGGTCTGCAACAGATCTGGGCTCCCCAAGACTTGATCCAGTGGCGTTGTAGTATCGAATTCCTTGATCGCAAAGACGTGGTCTAGAAGCAAGGGAGGGTATTCAGGAAAGCCTTGCGACAATGCCTTGCGCAAAACATCCGTTCCCTTTTTCTTGAACTTTTTTGGTGCATTTTCCTCTTGGGCAGAAAGCCCCTGTGCCTTTTCCAGTGTTTGCAAAACCCGATTCGCTGTGATGTCTGGAACCCCATCATAGTTCTGTTTATTAGATACAGTGTACTTGAGTCCGGCCTTTATCTCTTCCTGACCAACACCGGCGGCAACTTGGCGAAAGAAAGCAATAATGTTGTATTCGCGGTCCGTCAAGATAATGTTACCGCCGGCGAAGAATTCAAGGAAGATATGGTATGCGCCATCGCTAAAAGAGAAGTCGATGATGCGATCAGTTCCGATTTGGGTGATGCCTGTAATCCGACGAGACTTCAGGTACTTTCGGAGACGGGTCACAAAGGGCGATGGTGTGGATGCCGCGGTCCGCGAATATTGGGTGACATGAGTACGAAAACCGGAGTCAATGATGAGTTGGCGTCGATGGTCCGGCTTGGCGAGTTTGAAAAGAAATATACGCTAATAGGAATAAATAATCAGTTCGCCGTCCTTCCATAGTAATAGAGAAAAGAATTGAGCGTACCGAGGACAGGTCGTAGATGTTGGACACTCGGAGGTTGACACACTCCGACGCCAATTCCTGGGTGATGACCTGGGGTTGTTAGTGTGATATCTTCTTCGACACATATTTGAAGATACCTTGACGTCTAAAGATGAGAATCTCTGCTTCATAGCTGTGTTTGTGAAGAGAAAAAGGATTTTTGAGGGTGACGTATGCGGGGCTGGAACCCGTGGACTAGCTTTGCGACCATGCGAGTTAATACTGCCTGGCAGAAAACTGGACATCTACCCCACTCACCTGTGATAGGTATGTAGATCCCGAATACCGCGTAAATTTGTAAACTTGTACCTCTGAGTTGGACTTATATTTCTCAGTGTACAAAATATATATCAAGGGAAAATAGCGTATAATAAGAGAAATATAGGAGATTGGATAGCTCTACGTATTTGGTCAAGGCGGAACACTTGGCGGTATACATAATCCAACCAATAAAAGCCCGGTATTTGCTCTCGGGGTCCTAATTCGGAATAGTGAGAATAGCGGCCATCGCGTATGATTTATATACTTCAGCTCTTTCGTCTATGAAAGAAAAGAGGGAGGTAGAGAATGACAGGACCGAACACCCCCGTATCCTTATCTCATACACTAAGCATTGGTCTTCGGCTGATCTTCTTCTGAAGGTACGAGAGCCCTATGTCAGGGGACTATCAGCAATAGGCTGGTTTATCTGCAGAAATGCTTAACTTTCGATAGGAATGCCCTTCGGTTGTTGTTTAACTTGCTAAGCACCACTGGGGTCTCGATTCCTTGCTCCGGGGATATCGACTTGAATGGAATATCCCCGGAATATCCCGAACATAGAGACATCAAATGGAATGTTTTCAGTCCTGCCATTGGCCTGAAATCAAAATACCGTTGAATAAGGATCAAGTAGATCAGTAGGCTCTGAAACCAATGCTATGTAGTAGTGGAGCCTGTCGTAACTCTTTCCGAGAAATTGAGCAACATGCATGCACATGGATATAGGATATTGGAGCTCTACAGTCAATGGTATTCCCATAAATAAAGCCGCTCATAATTTAGCGAATCAAGAGTGGTGTCCTATTTAGGATTGTGGCCGTTCCAAAAGAATCTCCCTAGTGTCCAAGAAGTCACAACACAAAAATCAAGAGCGTGTTGGATCTAACTTTGCTCACCACATTCAATTAGGCCAACATTCTGTACCGACTGGATAAGAAATAGACGTGGTATCCAATCGATTATCTCTCATTGTAACCTTGACATTTTCAGAAGCTTAGCTGGTCTCACATTCCAATGAAACCCCATTCCACGTATCACCCAGGCACCGGGTTTGTTGATGCTGAGATACCGATTTGACGAAGAATGTACTGTCTCTCCTATCACTACACAAATATATTGACTATTGATAAACCGAGCAAGGCCGTCCTGTGTTCATCAACTCCTCCACTTTCATACTCCAAATCTTCTATCATTATACCACTACTAAACCCACGTTTCGCATCAATCCAACATGAAGCTCACTATTTTCTTCCCGCTGGCTGCCTTCCTGTCATGGACCGTCGCTGATCCTCTGGATGATGCCAGTCCCTGCCTTGTATGTCTCTTACCAGGATGTATGACTTGACTCAGAAGACTGACCACCTTTTCGTATGTCGAACAGATTCGTTGTCTCAACGAAGCCTCTGCAGTAGCAGGCTGTCTCTCCTCTATTGACTACAAGTGCACTTGCCCAAGCCCAGCGTTCAAGGATACGCTCGGTACCTGTTTGAAGGTTTCTTGTACCGCGGCAGACTTGACAGGTATATTCTCCTCACACATTGCGCTTTTGCTTCTATTGGTTTTCCAATCGGTCTCTGTGAGATTATAATTGTTTGAAGACTTGGGCTAATTGTTTCCCTTTAGTTGCTGGAGAATTGCACAAGAAACGTTGTGGTGGGTCGCCGCCTCAGTAAGGAGGTTATATATACTTTGATGTCCATACGATCTTTTTTTTCGAAAGGATGGATATAATGGATTGGAACAATGAATGAGCCTTGATCTAATTCCTAATTGCCAACGTAAACCTAATCTAGCCATAATGATAGCGGTGAATGCAAGTGCGTAATAACCTTGAAATATATATACTAAATCCTAGGTCTCACATTGGTCTGTCCTTATTTATTGCACTCGAATTGCTCACCGTTTAATCATTCAGCTGCATGAATGAAGACTCCACGAAATAAGCAATACAGCCCGCAGGACATGTTATATGATGGGGGTGATGCTGCAGTCTCGGTGACGTGACCCATATTCCTGCTGATCGTTGAACAAAGCCCACTATGCAGTTCGGTCTAGACTTTTGCTAGTTTTGCTAGATAAAAATGATACCCACCAAATGACTGCACCTCGCATGATCCGTGCATGATCGAAAGCGCAAATGTTGCCCACTCCAGGGCTGGCAACAAAAATAATACATAGTTTACGGTACTGCCCAGGTAGATGAACAGATCTACGAGTGCAATTAGGCGAGCAAATGAAAAGACTCCTGGAAGAACTCCATCATTGCGATTGCACGAGGTTGATATCAAGAGGAATGAGGCAAGGTAAAGACAATAAGAACACTCAAGTATTTTCGTTCTGAACTTCATATTCTGATCAACCCATCAACCTTTAAGCGACGTTCTCGTAGGCAACGGGGAAACGCTTCATGTTCTCCTCAACGGTACCGTGACCACGGAGGAACTGAACGTAGGCACCGTCCTGGCGGAGCTTGCCAGCGTCGCGGAGCTCGAGGTACTCCTCGCGGCGGACGGGGGTGAAGCCCCAGTTCTTGGAGACAATGATCTTTTGGCGACCGGGGAACTTGTACTGGGAACGGCGGAGGGCCTCAAGAGCGGTAGCACGGTGGGCGTCACGGGTGCGGACGGACAGAATAATCTGACCAATGTTCACACGGGCGACGAGACCCTGGGGCTTACCGAAGGCACCACGCATACCGGTCTGCAGACGATCGGCACCAGCGCAAGACAACATCTTGTTGATACGGACGACGTGGAAGGGGTGCACACGGACGCGCAGGTGGAAACCTTCCTTACCGGCGATCTTGACAAGGTACCTATTGAAAGATATATGAGAATATGTCCATGAATGTCAGGTGAAAGATGTGGGAGCAGATCGAGTAACGTACTTGTTGGCGCAAATACGGGCGGCTTCGAGAGCCTCGGAGGACAGCTGCTCGTACTCGTTGGAAACCAAGTGGATGCACATGGGGAAGTCATCCACGTTGGCCTTCTTACGACCAAGATCGAAGATACGAATCTTAGGGTCGGGAACACCACGGTTGAACCGGGACTTAGGGTAAGGCTGGATGTTGAAGACTGATGTCAGCGAAAACTGCGGACCTTAAAAAAAAAAAAAAATTCCCCAAAAATTTCCACAACCAGTGCCACGCATATCTCGCCTGAGAATAAATGTGCTATTCCGGTCATGGTGAGGTGGTCGTTGGCGATGTATTGATGCACACTCCCCACTACCAAGGTAACCCGCACAAATCTTCAAAGCTCGCGAAATCGAAATCGGCACGCACCTTGTTCTTGCAGTAGCGGTAACATCTCGCAGGACGGCGGGCCATTTTGAGTGTTGGAAGGGTGGTGATGGCACTTCCTGCGAACTGGGTATAGGTTGTCGGTGGTTGTCGAGGGTTCGGAAGGAGGAAGAGAAAGAGGGTTTCGCTGTGGTCACGGGTCTTGATTTCCAAGCAGCACTGTGGCAAAAGGGTTTAACCCTATTTGATGCCTTAGTCCTCAGGCCGTAGCACAGGCTACAGCCCCATCTTTTTGATTGGCCAACAAGATTCCCCACTAATCCTGTTTCGGTCCACTTTTATCTGATATGGAGCACTCCCGCTCTCTTGGATGCATCTCGGTTGTATAGTTCCTCCGCAAAAGTCTCCGTACGGAGATATATATGTAATGGGTGTGGGTCGTACGGAGACTTTTGCGGTAGAACTATATGTATTATTATTTTATGTTCTCATACCTGTAGCTTGCTCAAGAAGCTAAAATATACCAGCTCGACACAAAGATACAATCAGAGTCCTTTGTTAGGTATAGCTAAGAAGAAGTTGAAACAATGTTGATATCTCGACCTACCTTTGATCCACAAGCTTATCCCTACTCATGTACATCTTGATAAATAAGTTGATGCTGATTGATACATACATTGTCTTGAAGGCCATGAAATTGAACACCTGTGTATTCGATACTTTGGTTAATTGGAGGTTTACTTAGAAGAAGGAGAGATCTATGCCCCTTTCTCCGATGTATTTATCTGATTAGGAATCTTTACGTAGATTTTGAACATAGCTGAACTTGAAATAATACACGGTGAGCTTTCTGCGTCCGACACAATTCTTTCCTTCCTGATGTATGATATATAATGAAGACAACACCTCAATGAGCTCAAATCCAAAGTAGAGATAGAGCAGATATTTTGAGAACAGTGCTCAACTATGGAATTGGAAGTCCAATCGCTTATTTCCTTGATCAGTAGTGGTGCTCAGATAAGTTGCCTTCTCCTCTGGTGTCAATTTATCCCATTGAGCTTTCTTCCATTGGTTCCTGCGCACGTAGTATACCTTTGCCAGAACATAGGCAACCATAGTAGTGACGTTGATAGCGATGAGTTGTGAGTTTCCACGGCGGTACAATGGCTTATCATCACTGCGGTAGATATTCGAGGATGCAATCCCAGAAAGTTGGATGGTCACATTGTAGAGCGCCGCACTAATACTTCGAGTTCGCACAGTATTACTGAGGCGTGAGCACCAGCCAACATGTGCTGCATGCGGGTTGGGCCAGCCCAGTAGTATGAAACTAGCTGCATACAAACCCCAGCTTGATAGCGATCCAGCTGATGTGTAAAGGACGATGAGAAGTGGGAGATTCCAGACCTGAGTGAGAAGACCGACAATGGAGATTTCCTGCAAACGCTCGGTCAACTCGGTCACAAGCACCAAATTGATGGAGGCGAAAACAGTGACAGGAATTGTCAACAAGGTGGTGTGGAAGGTGCTAAATCCAATCGATTTCAGTGAAAGCGTCAGATAAGTTTTCGGTGGCGCTGTGGGTATTTCGAAAAGCATTCCAATGATGTAAATCGGCCATAAGTCGTAGTCCATCAAGCTCTGCCACAACATGCTGAGGGAAAGGGCCTGGCGATTGTGCATGTCGCCCTTGGATGGATCATCTCGCAACACCCGATTCACAATGATCTTTTCTTCTTTTTCGGTGAAGTATCCCTTAGGGTTCCACCAAGTCTTTGTCTGGGTAGGGCCCGGTACTAAGAATAAGAAACTGAGGAATCCTATCACGAGACTAATGAGTGCCTCGATGAGAAACAGCCATCGCCAACCTTCGCGGCCGTCCACACCGCGCATGTGCAGAACACCATAGGCGATGAATGAGGCGACAACACCTGACATGGAATCAACGAACCAAAACAATGCAAGACGGAATGGCATCTCAGACTTGGTATAGAAGTAGGAAAGGTACAGGACTGCATCTGGGATGAAGCCACCCATGAACAGGCCAATGAAGAAGCGACATGCGAAGAAGCCAGCGCGATTCTGCATAAAGAACTGGCCTCCGGATGCTAAACTCCACAAGATGATCTGAAAGGGAATCCAGCGGTCTGGGCCCAATCTCTTTCCAAGCATCTGAGACGGTACCTCAGCAATGAGAAAGCCGATACGATACATGTTTTGCGCGTTGTTATAGTCGTTGGTGGTGATCTTCAGATCGTCGAGCAGGTTATCAGCCGCGGCATTGCCTAGATTTCCTCGATCGAGATTGAGTCCAAAAAACATGACAAGAATCCACAAGAAAATCCTCCAATCGGTCTTGTGGCGTACCGAGAGTTCTTCACGGTGAGTCCATCTTTCTTCCGGATCGAATCTGTGAATATTCTCGTAGTCCGGACGGGGTTGGTAAAATTGCGCCAACAGAGGATCATCGAACACACTTCGAACTGTTGCAATAGAGTCTGGGTCGACTTTCCGTTTCCGCAAGAAAAGTGCAGCGAACAGCGACAGGGACTCGCGTTGCTCCTCTGGCTCAGCAAGGGTTGTCACCACAGAACCGTCTTTGTGATGATGATCGTCATTCTGAGGCCCAGAACCCGATGCTGGAAGCTCTTTGGAAAATGTCGATGCCATGGCTATCTTTGGCGCATGAGTCGAAAATCAAGAACGAGACAGAGAGTACTGGATTTAAAGATATACATTGAGATAGAACACTTTATATCAGATGAAATGAAGAACAATATCAATCCGACTCAGACTGCAAGGTACAAAATGCGTGCTCAAGTATATGCATGATGCCATTTACGCCAGCGGAGGAACTCCCAACGGAGAGATAGTGAATTCCTCCTAGCGATTTGGAAAGGACGGTATAATGGTCTAAATGATGCCCGGTGATGAATGAAAACAAGCCTTGACATTTAGCCGATATTTTTGCGCCATGATAGCGCCTGATTACATCAATCTCTGCCAAGTCCAGTCAACTAGCGGTGGAAATGTTGAATTGTATTTGCTCAGATTGGTGGAAAATCTTGTCCTACAATAATGTACATATCTATCTAGCGTCTTGGATTTCTATCAGAATTGAGGATCCCAACGCCACTGTCAACATCGGCACTCCCTCCCGAGTCGGTCTTGTTCATCGGACCTTCACCTCACGGTATTGTTAATTAACCGACTCGAGTGCTGGCTACAAAATATTTATTTACTGACGCCATGCGAAGGGGTCTTAATTCTATGCTTCGGTGTGATTGTGCATTGAAGTTGAAATACGTACTAAGTTAGGTAGGGATGACGGCGTTCCTTGACCTATCCAAATACTGAGCTTGATCATTACAAACGTAGAAAAAATAATACTAGATATCATTCAAGTCTTGGAAGAATCTGTCCTCTTTACCACAAATAATCGATTTTCTCTTCTTCTACCTGCATTGACTAAAGATAACACCTATACAGCCTCGCGCATACCAAAGATCACTGCGACACCAGAGAACATACTCCGTAAACAAATGAGAGTGTCTCAATCATCGCATACTCGACTCGATAAACTGCCACCTAGAAGCTTCCCCAGTAATGCAAATCATAATCCACACCACCTGGGCGCCACAGAGGAGCTGGAGTATAGACCGGGATAGGAGATGCCGCTGTAGAGAAATTAGTTATCTGGTAGGACAAGAAAAACAAAAGAAGCTGAGAGAGAGCTTACTTCCATAACCCGTACTAGGCACAGCCCACGTAGGAGTTGTGGGGGCCTGCCAATCAGTTGGAGATGCTGTAATGGTGTAGGTGCTGGTATAAGGTGAGGGCGATTCTCCTTCACCGAGAGACTTGATACCATTATTTGACCCGTAGCTATCATCCCCATTGCCAAAGATATTGCTGATCTTGTTCACAACCGAAGTACCCGATTCTGTCCACACGGTGAAATCTTCGACAGTGACATTAGTAGCGTATGTGAGATCATTCGCAATGAGGTAAAGTGGCGGACGCTTCACTCCATCGGCAACAGAGCCTGACAAACTTTGTAAGAATACCGCCAGAACTAACATTTGTTAATGACTTACCAGAGAAATTCCGGAAAACCAGGTTACTCAATGCAACAGCACCGGTGTCGGGCTCAAATGTATTCTGCCAGTATTGGTTGATATCCAAGCCATAAAGACTTCCCAGAGAGCGGAAATTCGAGAAAGTGATGTTTGTAGCGTAGCCGGATCCACCAGGATATGTTTTGATGAAGGCTATGTTGTTGCCTTGGATAATGCTGATATTGCGTGCTTCCTACTGCAATGTTAGCATTTGATGGGATATCCACAGGTTGAAACTGACGATGTTGGATATTTCAGCAGATACATTCAGACTGCCAATGGATATACCAGAGCCTGCTTGATTGCACACCAGGTTCTCAACCAAAGCATGGTGAGAAGGACTTTTCACGGAAACACATTCGTCACGATTGGTAACCTAGAATGATTATTAGTTCAGGTGAAAGATGAAGACCAGGGCTTGAGACGCATACCTCGTTGTCGTGAATCCAATAGTTTGTTCCAATGGCATCAATTCCGTCATAACTGCCCAGGTTCCCTCCCCGGATGGTTAAATGGTAGGCTTCAACATTCACGGCAAAGTCCAAGATAATGTGAAACTTGGGGCTGTCGACTAGAATCAAGTCATGGCCTGAGGCGTTGGTCGGAGAGATCAAACGCACCAAGCGCGGGCGATCCGTGCTGGAATTTATGTGTAAGCTTCACAACATCTCATAAAATGGTCTATAACTTACTTGTTGAGATTTCGGTAGAGATAACCCTGTCCTTGAAAGGCACCTTTGCCATTGAAAGAATAGAACTCGAAATCCACAGCTGTTTTGTCAACTTAAGCTCCAAAGATGTCTGGAGATGTGAGCTCACCATTGACAATGACGAGCACATCTAATAAAAATTTAGAATCACCCTCCCCATTGATGGTTGCATTGATAATCTCTGTGCCTGCAAATCCTTGGAGTATCAACTCACGCGCGATATTCCAGTCGCCGCCATAGGCAGCTGTGATCAGACCATCCAACTGGAATGCCCAATTTGTGCCATTGCTGAGAGTCACACCTCGCTCGATCAAATACTCTCCTTCGGGTACAATTAATCGGCTACCCGGATGTTTGCGAACACATTCCGAGAAAACTGTCTCCAATGCAGTGGATATGTCGGTCTTGTTATCAGCTACAGCGCCATAATCAAGAATGTTGCATTCGACTGTCTTATCATGAAGGTCGGTTGTTGGACCCACGGGGCCGATGAGTTGGCCAGCGGTGATACGCAACAACGGTAGCAGAAGCAAACTGGTGAATTTCATCGTGGTGAATATGTTCTCAATATCTTTTCACTCTTAGTTCTACCTTCTGGTATTTCTAGTTACAGGCCTGGTTTTAGTAGCTGCACTGTTTCAAATGCAATTAGTCTGTACAGGGTCTTCAGTCCGTTCAACACAATATTCTTAATGAAAGAAGCCATAATTCCTCCATCCACTAGTATCGGCCGCAATTCGCGATTGACAAGTGAGGCAAATTCACTGAAATGATTCAATCGGGTAATATCGTTTATGCGTGATTTATTTTCAAGTCAAGTAGGCTGGTTAATACCTCTATCAAAAAAGTGGGTTGCTTGAGACGTTAGTACGATGAGCAATGAGCCCTGCGGATGACAACATTTTGAATCGATATCTGATAACTAACTAGTCCGTAACTGGTTAGTCTTTTCATAGGTCTAAACTAGCAATCACATCATCTTGGTGTCAGCTCGCGCTCACAGCAAGCCTAACAGACGAGGCTAGTTTCAAACGGAGTAAATCCACCAATAACAAATATATTTTTAGTCGGGCGGTTTTCTCTCTCCATGCCCTCCCCCCAAAAAGCTGCCTAGAAAGCTTTCACTCGATCTACCAAATCATCATGGCAAGCAGAAAGAATGTACTGTTGATGGTCGCCGATGATCTTGGTAAGCAACTTGGTTGTTACGGGACACCAACTATCAAGACACCCAATATCGACCATCTCGCCGCAGAAGGTACCAAATTTGAATATGCCTTTGCAAGCACCGCGTCCTGTAGTGGCAGTCGCTCCGTCATATATACAGGCCTGCACACCCACCAGAACGGCCAGTACGGACTTGCCAGTCACCGCCATCACTTTGTCACGTTTGATCATGTCGAAACTGCACCACAGCTGCTGAATCAGAGCGGATATCGGACAGGTATTCTGGGAAAGATTCATGTCGGACCGGTGGCAGTCTATCCCTGGGAGGTCGCCAAGGAGAGTGAAACGAGGGATGTGGCTGCGATCGCTGATCAAGCCAATGACTTCTTCCAAGAGTCTCTGGCAGATGAGAGGCCTTTCTTCTTGACGATTGGTTTCCACGATCCACATCGCGATCGCACACGAGGTGGATTTGGCAACGACCAAGAATACGACTCCCGGATCAAGAAGGGCTCTTACAATAGCGATCTGGTCGAGATTCCACCCTTTATCAACGACTCTCCCGGTGTCCGGTTCGAGTTGGCTGAGTACTATAACTCAATTCATCGCCTGGACCAAGGGATAGGTTTTGTTTTGAATGCCCTCAAAGAGGCTGGCTTGGCTGAATCAACTCTCGTTATCTTCATCAGCGACAATGGCCCACCTTTCATCAACTCTAAAACAACTCTTTTCGATGCAGGGGTGCGGTTGCCTCTTATTATCAAGCATCCAAATGTCCAGCCAGCAGTCAACTCTGACATGGTCTCATACGTCGATATCCTCCCCACCGTGCTTGACTATGTTGGGCATCCGGGCGTAGAGGACCCAGCAAAGAAGCGGCTTGGACGCTCGTTGCTTCCGCTACTCGGAACAAATGCCAAAATATCGGAGTGGAACCAAGTATTCGGCTCGCATACTTTCCACGAAGTCACAAACTACTGGCCGACGAGATTCATTCGAGATCGACGATACAAATACCACCGAAACCTCGCATGGCGCCTAGACTTTCCATTTGCGGCTGACATCTATGGGTCTCTTTCTTGGGAAGATACTCGGAACTCATCAGATAGCGAGATTATGATCGGGGAGAGAAAGCTCAAGGATTACTTTTTCCGCGCACCAGAAGAGCTGTATGATTTGGAGAACGATCCAAATGAGGTGATCAATCTTGCCAAAGACCCAGAACATGCTACTGTACTCGATGATCTGAGGACGAGACTGGAAACATGGCAGCGACGGACAGAGGATCCTTGGCTGTACCGGGATGGAGTATCGACATGGTTTGTGAGATACCATTTCCCAGCCGGTTTAAGGATCCCGGACCGTTTGGACTTTGATGCAGACCAACCAGGCAATCAGAACCAGAAGTCGTTCTCGGGGGATGTGCCATGGGGTGCTGATGTTGATCAAGTTAAGGAGGACACAGTAGCTTAGAAAGTATTCAAATGTCTATACTTGGAGTCTTCGACCACCCAGCTTCTGTCATAGTCATACATATGTATCGTTCAGATTTATGATGCCGGGGAAACTAGGGTGACTAGATATCTGTTGATTCCTACGGACAGGAGGTAAACAGCAATTTCTCTTATGGGAGGGCGAAAATTTCCTTTTGAGATGACACAACTTCTCATGTGTCGGCGACACAAACCTCGGGAAATTCATGGAAACCCAGCGCGTATGCTGGAACCAAGATTGAATTAGTTAAGAATACATAAGAACATTGAACCTACCTAAATAGGCAGTTCAACATCATTGGATCGTGGGTCACCTGACATTTTCAGGAGTCGTTGCCTGACCGCTAGGGGTTGGGAGTGTGCAGGTGATACCCAACTTGGGATCCGTTGCATGCACGTTGTTAAACTTTGCGATAACAAAAGTGACTCATATGGTTGCCCGAGAGATGACGCCTAGGGTCTTGGCAAGCATTATATGCGTCCGAACGTAATATACAGATACTCCGTACTCGAACTCGGACTGTTCCAGCATATGTTGTAGGGACAAGGTGCGCAGGTGCAGTGGAGAAAAGTGTCAACTTCCGCTGTGGAGATGGAATTACATTAGTCCGATACAGCGCCTCAGGCTTCTCTCCCCCTTTTGTACTGCTCTTGTTCTTTCATGAGCCCACGCCATCTCAACAGGCCAGTCGACCTGGTGGAACAATAAAAACAACTGACTTCGCCTCCTTATTTCACTAAATTTACCCTTGTGACTTCTCTTTTCCTCTTCCAGAAAGTCCTTACTCTCTCGTATTGTTCCAAGCCGTTGCGTATTTTTAGATACAGTAAGGGGATCCGCATTCCCCAAGACAACTTTGATTCGAAGGTCTGCAACCAGCACTTTTCTCAATTCCTTTCTCATTCCCACTTTCACGCCGTTTTCGATGAATCTCCAATTCCGAACAACCATGTGGCACGCAATCAACCTGTGACAGCTTTCAACCACATTCTTGGCCCTTCAATCTTCCCATACAAGCGCTCTCCACAAGGTGTCCACTAGGTTTTGACCGCTCCTAAATACACTTGCAACCCTGAAATCTCCTTTCCTTTTTCCCAATTGAAGTATAATAGGGGGCTATATACGTTTTATTTTCTTATACATTCACCAGCGGATTGTCAAGGGACGTTTCATCATGTCAGCACCGCCTCGAAAGCCTGGAACTCCCGGCAGTTCCAGCAAATCATCAACCGCAGATCAGCACTCCAACAACGGGTCCGCACGAGGGCACGCACGCTCACCCAGCGCAACCAGCCTTAACCGTTCTCCTTCCTTAAGAGGCTCGACTCCCGTATCAGCCCGCGCAGCTGCAAGAAAACCTGGCCGTTCCAATCTCAGCATGTCAAACGTACCGCGAGTTTCCAATGACCCCTCCGAAGAAGAGGCGCGGGCTCAGAATGCCGCCCTCATCGAGGAACTGCGGGAACAACTCCAAAAGGCCGAAACTGCGTCTGAACAATACCAAAAGCAGCTCGGCGTTCTGCAAATGCGCCTCGATGAAGCGATTAGTGAACAAACCAAGTTGGAGGACCAGGCTCATGAGCGAGACAGTCGGATCGAGGCCCTTAACAGTGACATTCGGGACCAGGGTCGTCAGATCCGGGATCTGGAACAGGACCACGAGGCGGAGCGGAACGCTATGCTTCAGGAGAAAGAACAGCAGACTAGTCGGGAGGAGGAAATGCAGGCCACTATTCAACGGTTGAAGGACGCGATGGCACAGAAGGATATGCGCATGAACGCAGAAGGGGATCGTAACCAAGTTTCTCGATCTTGTAAGACACCCATGCTCCTACAATCGCAGATGATGAGATTCAGAGACTGACCTCGGCTATAGCGAGCTTCCGCAATCGATCTTCCCCGGACGTGGACGGTCAATTTGCGCCCTCCTCGCACATCGAGCGGAGCCCGTCTCGCAACAACTCCACACTTCTCCTCCAGAAAGACAAACTCATCGAGTCATTACGCCTCGAACTGGCCGAATCACAGATAAAACTCGTCGAGATGGAGAACGGTGGCGGTCGTCAGCGAGAACTAGAGAAGGACTTGCTCGAGGCCCGCGTGGCCAATGCTCGCTTGATGGAGGACAATGAAAGCTATCAACTTCTTCTCAGCGAGAAGACTCTTACCGGGGACTTTGCCAAGGGCGATTTCATGCGAGATGCCAACCCCACTAAGGAGTCCGCAGGAGGGCTGGGGTCCTTGGCAGATGAGCTTGAATCTGTAGATGAGGCGCCCGAAACCGATGCTGCTCAACAACCGGACGGAGAGGTCAAGGCTCTGAAAGATCAGAACAAAGCCCTGACGCTCTATATAGAGCGTATTATCAGCAGACTGCTTATGCATGACGGATTTGAGCATATACTGGACCGGAACGAGGATGATGAAACTTCCACCACGAAGACCGGGGCCAGTGAAAAGGAACTCCCCCCTATTCCTTCGGATAAAGATGACGATTCGTCACAAGGTCTCATACAACGAGCGAAGTCGATTGTTGGTGGTCAGAATACCCGCCCTTCAACCCAACCTCGATCGCGTCCAACCAGCATGATGCCTCCACCGCAAACCCCACAGAACAACCCTAATGAGAACCCCAACACTGCGCCCAGCATTCCCTTCCGTACGCAGTCTGTGAGAGCATCCACCCACCGTCGCAGTCGCTCGGAACAAGTCGACCCAAGTGCCGCGAGTGTCATTGGTCACATGTACCGCGGCGGACGCAACTCCGGCGGACCTATCAGCCCGACTGCAATGGGCCCTGGATCCCGCCAGAGCATGTTCTCCGGAGCAGCAAGCTATATATCTAGCATGAGCCGTGCACCTTCCATGTCCAGTCAGCCAGAGCGGATTGGTCGCAGCAGCTCCCCCAGTGTGACAAGCGATCCCCACGGAGATACAGCCTCCACCGGGGCTACCTCTAGCACTCCTCGATCCAGTGGCGGCATGAACAACTACACTGGAGCGGTGATGCAACAGGACAAGTTGCGCCCTCTACGCCTTGTCAGCGAAACCGCTAGGATCAAGGAGGAGGAAGAAGCGGCACGTAAGAAGGCGAACCGCGCGAGCTGGATTCCGTGGTTGAATCGCGCCGGCGATGAACCAGCGCCGCAGTAGGCCTTGTTCTCCGGGCAGTATGATTTGATGTGATCTTGACCTGGTCTTTGACCATATTTTTAACATACCCATACCCCCCTATGATGCACATAACGCAATTTCATGTCTTGAAATGTTTTGCCTATATTTCAAGGTCCCCGATTTCTCATGTTTCCTCTTAACGCGATCTGATCATGATGTTTCCCCATGCGATGTGGTTTCGAAAGGAGTCTCATACATTATGATCTTTATCTTGATATATATTATTCCCCATGTATCCTTCACAATGATGTATTTCCACTCATCTTATGTCATATCCCCAATCTTGAGGTGTATAACTTATTCCAGTATTCCGTTGTAGTATTAGGGTCAACGAATGGTTGATTATATTGCCAACTATATCGTTATCGTACCGACAATGCAGCAAATGGTTAATGGACAAGTAACTCGAAGCCGACTAGGTCCTGGTACCAAGCCAGAGACGAATAAGTGTGGATTCATTCCCACTTACGCTGCACACTGTGGTCACTGTATCCGTATAGAGCTCGAAGACGGAACAACATTAGTGCGTCTCCGCCTCCGGCCAGATTGGCGGTTGAGAGCATCAACAAGCACAAGAACAGTATTTCCCCAATTGCTCCCACCACAAAACTCACCATGCCCGGTTCCCTCTCCCTCTTCTCCGTAAATGCGGTCCTCGTCATGTCCGCTGATGATGGGTCCCGCATCTACGCAAAGTACTTCTCGGCACCACACCCCCCGCCGGCGCTGCACCAAACTCGACTGATTACCCCGGTGCAAACCCCTACCCTACCGTGAAGGAGCAGCGTTCTTTCGAGAAGGGCCTCCTTGAGAAGACCAACAAGTCCGCAAGCGATGTCATCCTTTACGATAACCGCATTGTGGTCTTCAAGATGGAGAGCGACGTCATGCTTTACGTTGTTGGAAGTGCCGACGAGAACGAGGTCCTGCTCTACAATGTTGTACTGTCACTACGAGATGCTCTGGGGATCTTATTCAAGTATGTTAACTTTTGATCCCAATTCAAGGAATTCGACACAAGCTAACAGGATCGCTCATCAGGGGCGCAACCGACAAGCGCACTATCGTCGAGAACTACGACCTCCTCTCCCTGACCATTGACGAGACTATCGACGACGGAATCATCCTCGAGACTGACCCGGTCATGATCGCTTCGCGTGTCAGCCGCGCACCGGCTGCAGATGCACCCAATATGAAGAATATCGATCTCACGGAACAAGGTCTAATGAACGCCTGGGAGTTCGGCAAGCGGCGTCTTGCAGAGGGATTGAGACAGATGTAAATGGGACACATGATTTTGTCTTGCGTTGGAGGGCTACGATGTGTTTTCGCCCTCATTGGAGCATTTCTTGACTGTTGTTTCTTCTTATCTTTCACCCGCTTTTCTTCCTGGCTGGTCCTGGCGCGTTATGGCTTTTCCTTTTTTCGTCTGCCCGACTTGGTTGTTTCCAGGCATCGATGACATACACCTGTTTCTTTTCATTCTAGCATCCTACAAAAGGTCTTGGCTACATCATTGTGTTATGTTCGATATTGACAATGTTGGGCCGGGATACCTCATAATTCATGATCCTATGTTCGAGAGACTTATATTGGCAATGAGAAAATCAATAACCTCGTCATTTCTGAAACATTCAGCATGCATGACGGACTGGTCTGCATCCTTCTCTCTTCAAATCGTGACCCAAGCGTAGACAGCTTTGCACTGTATTGCCGACTTGCGTTAGGTGACCATTTGTCTGAATCTATTCAACCAAGTGGAAGAACGGTCTGTCCTTCGGCAGAGTCAACCTCAATGATTTCTCTCGAAAGACTGAAAAAGCCGGAGTCCATTCTTCTTCATCACTAGGATTGGGGTCTACATTTCCGTGCAAGGAAGTGCTATGACAGCAGCGAAATGACCATGCATACTAGCCAGATGCAAATGAGCCCAACGCAGGGAGTCCCATGAGTTGACAGCTTGTCTGTATCAAGCGACTGGACTACGTGCATTTTGAGTGGAGAGAATCCTCGAACACCGTCATTTCATTCATCTTTGTGCGCTCTAAACAGATCTGGATCATTGCCATGTGTCCTTCTCCGCAGCAATATGGAGTGCATCCAGAGTCATATCTTCTGGCGATGTGTTTCCAGCATCAAGCAAATCTTGCTCAAAGATGTATATTGTTTCTTTTTTAGCGGACCGCAATCATAATTTATTGTCTTCGTCATTGACGTTTGGGACAAGGGTAACCTTCGCCCAGGTGATCCAAGAGTCTGAGTATACCTTGTGTATGACTTCGGGGAGGTCAAACGCAGGCCAGTATGCCAATTTGACCAAGTTCGACTGCCGTATTCACCCGAGACGTCTATTACAAAGCAATGAGGTCATTGATCAGATTACAAAGCACCAATATAGAGAGGTCCATGGATGGATCGGATCGATGGATCCATAACTACGGAGTACATGTAGTAGAGTAGTTATCGACCGAGCCTTAAGATGTTATTTTGCTGTTCTCGCTAAATAACCCCCTGCAAATATGGGCTCACTTACTACGAATGAATGGAGGGTCGAAAAACAGACAGGGTTCGACGGTCTCCATTTCAGCAAAAATGTTCCTATTCCCGACTTGGGCCCAAATGATGTCCTAGTTCGATGTACGCCGACAATCCATCCGACGGTTGATTGAAAATAATACTGACCCTAGCGCTCTGGTAGTCCACGCTGCTTCAATTAATTACCGAGACTTGATTATAGCAACAGTAAGTTCAGGACGAGAGCTACGACCACTGGGGTTTACCCACTTAACTCGTACAGGGTGAATATCGCTACCCAACCAATGCCAATCTTATTCCGGGATCTGATGGAGCCGATACGGTGGAGGCAACCGGATCGCGAGTGTCTCGTTTTCATGTTGGAGATAAGGTGATTACGCTGTTCAACCAGGGCCACCATGCTGGCCCCCTTGACCAGCGCTCCATGAAAACTGCGCTTGGTGGCCTTTTAGACGGGACATTTCGACAGCGCGGTGTATTCTCCGAGGAGGGCCTGGTGGCTATGCCGCCGAACCTCAGCTTCCTAGAAGCCAGCACTTTGACTTGCGCGGGCCTCACGGCGTGGAATGCACTTTACGGCAGCGCTGATCACCCTCTTCGACCTGGTGATGTTGTTTTGACTCAAGGATCTGGTGGAGTTAGTCTTTTTGGAATTCAGGTAAACCAATTGCGACGACTGCTCAAGGGATTCCGCTGAATAACTGACTTCCATGTTCCCTTTAGTTCGCAAAAGCCGCGGGCGCGACCGTAATCGCGACTACTTCATCTGATGAGAAAGCCGTACGATTGAAGGAGCTTGGTGCGGACCATGTCATCAACTATAAAACGACGACAGATTGGGGAAAGACTGCTAAAAGCCTTACACCTGAAAAGGCGGGTGTCTCTCACATTCTCGAGGTCGGCGGGCCAGGTACGCTGAGACAGGTATGAAATTATGGTCCTTGATTCAATTACACCCCGAACAATCCACTAACATCTCTATATAGTCCCTGGCGGCTATCAAAATCGCCGGCCTGATTACGGGCATTGGTTACGTTAGTAAATCCGGGGACCAGCCTACTCTGCTGGAGTCATTTAGCGCCAAGTGCACTGTTCAAAGCATTGTAGTGGGCTCGCGTGCTCAGTTTGAACAAATGAACCGCGCAGTCGAGGCGCATAATATTCATCCTGTGATGGATCAAAGGACCTTCACACTCGAGGATCTCAAAACTGCATACCAGTATATGTCGGAGCAGAGGCATTTTGGGAAAGTCGGGATAAAGATCGACTGAATGTTGGTCAATTTACCAAGACATAAATCAATGATCGAGACGTTATGTTAGCAGCTAGGCTAAATAGAAACTGTCAGAGCAAAAGCTTTGTGGAACACAGTAAGAGGCCAGGTCGTCACTAGACACGAAAGTGTATGCCCTGAAACAAACGCAGTGAGCGAAAGGGAACTAATCAACAAGGATGTTGTGGGATAGCCTCATTTAGGGCATTTTCATTATATCGGCAAGAGAGATTATCTCCATTGAGAATATCCCAATGCAGTGAGCGGGGAAACACAGAGAATTACACATTATCAACGACATTCCGACCTTCAACTACTACATAGATAGTCCAACCTAATAGGAAAGTGACCGCGCACCGTCGAAACAGGCAGGTTTCCGCTATCGGCGATCTACCTATCCACTTCCCCCGCAGACTCCTGTACAAGACTTTCCTTGTTCAAACACCGAAAGATGGCAGATTCACCTCAAGAAGGTGTACACGAGGCCATTACCCATACGCGCTCATTCACAGGGTGTGCCACAGTAAGTCCGCCGATCTCATTGAGTCATGATAATGCATATCTAACCTACAATATAGTGTCGAAGTAGACATGTGAAATGCGACGAAGGACGTCCAGAATGTTCAATGTGTCAATATTTTGGCTTAGTTTGCGGAGGATACAAGAAAGATATCTTCTTTGATTTTGAGAGCCCACTACGCAATCATGGGGTCCGGTTTCGTCGACCATTGTTTACAGTGAAGGAAAGAGAACGCATGAGTCAGTGGCTTGTCTCAAGCGCTCCTCCAAAGAAAACTCATCGTATTCTATCCCAAATTGATGAAGAATGCGAAAGAGCAACTATTTCGGAGGAAATCGAGATCCACCAAGGTCCATTCGGGGCGTTTAGATCAAACCAAGGTCAAGACACAATGTCTCGTGAACCAGCTATGAACGACTTTGAAGAGACGCAGTCCAGTTCTCCGGAAGATGTGGTTCTATTCAGCAATTCGTCCGACATGCTTCTGTCGCCTTGGTCTCAGTCCTTAACGCAATTCACATTTGATCAACCAGAGCATGTTCCCAGTCCGCCTTCCCCGGTATGTTTAGACGCCATGATAGATCAAGATTCCGTGGAAGACGATCCAGTACCCCATGGATATTTACCCACATCTTGTTTTCCAGATCAATCTTACAATCATCCAATATCACCCAATCTTTTCACTTCTTCAATGGGTACCACGAGAGCCCTGCCCCAAGATGCCGTGTTCCTTCTCAAGCACTATGCTTCGGCTGTAATTAGCTTGATGACGCCCCTCCGACACTCTAAAACCCCCTGGCACATTCTTTTCATACCTCACACCAAGAGCTGCCTCGCGGGCTTGGTTCTTGGTGATAATATGAGTGATGCCAGTCTATGTGCCTTCTACGGGACATTAGCCATAAGTGCATTCAGCCTTGGGGGAGTCTCTCGATCCCAAACATGGAGCGAGAAGGCCATAATTTACAAGCAAAAAGCCCAGCAACATGCAAAAATGATGCTTATGACCGCCTACAATTTTCCGAAAGTAGCCAAATACAAGTCAATCTTGATGGCATTGCTCACCATGGTCCAAGTGACGATGTTCTCAGGGAGCCGAAGGCAATCGGAGTATTATTTCGTTGAAGCTGAAAAGTTCATTCGTTTAAGAGGACTTCCGCGCAAAAAGTCTCGAAAAGTACGATTACTACATCACTGCTATGTATTTGAACGTATCATCCATGAGAGTGTCTTCATTTGTGGAGCGAACTCAAGACAGCGTCATCACGTTCACGCGGCCATTGAAACTAGCGGGCTAGGAAACTACAGCCTTGACAGTCTGTCATTTCGCCTATCGGGTTGGAAGAATCTGGACCAAGAAATGATGAGAGTGCGCGGGCAAGAAGAAGGCGAGAATGATCTGCATCTTGAAAGGCCTGGCTTCTGGTCTAACACTCTCTACCCGGAGATATTTGGTATCCCCGAACCATGGGTTCTTCTTCTATCCCAAGTTATTCGATTAGGGAAGGAAAAGGACGCAGCAGAAGGAGAGGATGCATCGAACTGCATCAGCTTAAAAGAGTTCATCAGCCGGGCGAAGACTCTCGAAGACTACATCAACAAGCTGCCACTACCCAGCCTGGAGAATATCCAGTCTGAATTCGACCACGAAGTCATAGACAATATGCTTAATGCCATGCAAAATGCACTAGCGATATATTTCTACCGTCGAATCCACGACGTGGATGCTTCCTTGCTACAGCAAAAGGTCGTGGTCGTGTTGGACCATCTACTACGCTGTGAGACCACGGACTCTACTGTAGTACATGGCTCAGCAGGATTTATCTGGCCTGCTTTTATTGCGGCCTGTGAGGCCGAGGATCCATTGGTTCAGGCATCATTCTCCAACTGGTTTGTGAATTCGGCACGCCGTAGTGGCTTGTCTTGCTTCACTGAAACATTGGCCAATATTCAACGAATTTGGCAGGAGAAGACTTGTGCTAACGGGAAGAGTGTCACTTGGTTGGATTTAATGAAAGGCTCTATGCCATTACATCAGATGTTTTGATTTCTAGTATGATACTGTGGGCAATAAATGAGTCTATAAACTAGTTCATTAATGATCAACGACCATTACTGTAAAGCAGGATATCTATATCTCTATACGTAGAGCAATAGAACACGATTAAATAAGGCCAAAATAATTCAACCATTACCGATCGATCTATTTGATCATAGTGCCATATTTTAAATTGAATGTTAGCACTTGGTGCACTATGAAATCCGCTCTCAATCCAAGGTGACAATCAGCTGCAACACCACCGCACTGAACGTATGTATCAGCAGCGGTACGTGTCATTACACTACATAATCCATACAGTATAGTAAACCAAGTCCGAGATGCGTTGTCATAGGTTGCACGGCTATCATCAGACGCGAGTTAGGCAAGTCTCCGCGACAACCCCACATGCATCAAAGTAGGCTCTTTGGAGAAAGATACGGGGCTGTCGTCGCTGTCTATTCGAGTCTCTCCGTGGGAAACTATATAAACCATCGATATTCAGTTGCTCTGTTCCATTTACCCACCATCACCCTTCCCGCTACGCACACCAGCAGATCAATCAAGTATTCTAAGCCCCGCAAACCACCTTAAATGGATGTATCTGGAATTGCCCTTATCACAGGTGCCGCCTCAGGCATTGGCCGCGCCTGTGCAAAGACATTCGCCAGAGATGGCGCCTCGGGAATCGCCCTACTCGACATCGGCCCTGAAGCCTTGGAGGCTGTGAAAGCCGAGATCGAAGAACAACAGCGCAGACTAGGATTAAAGCCATGCCGGGTCATCACCTACCCCACCAATGTAACAGATGAGAACCGCGTCAACCATGTCGTCCAAGAAGTCGCGACGACATTCGGACGACTCGACTACGTCGTCAACGCAGCCGGAATCGCAATGAAGCACGCAGGCGGAGCTGCATTCTGCGAGACATCGGATTGGGAGCGTATCTTGAACGTCAACCTCACGGGTACATTCTTCGTTTTGCGAGCTGCTGCCAAGATCATGTTGAAGCAGGAGCCTATCCGGTCTTCGATTGATGGCAGGCCACTGCAGCGGGGCTCAATTGTCAACTTCTCGTCTATTCAGGGCGTCGCTGGGATTGCGTTGTCGACTGCGTACACTGCGACAAAGCATGCGGTTATTGGTTTGACGAGGACTGCCTCGGAGGATTATGCAAAGGATGGGTTGCGCATCAATGCTATCTGTCCTGGGTATACCGAGACCCCGTTGACGACCAAGTCGCCCCAGATCTTCGCGGCTATGCAGGAGAAAGTTGCTAATGCGGTTCCAATGGAGCGTATGGGTCGGCCGGAGGAGATCGCCGACGGTGTTGTTTACTTGAGTGGTGGACGGGCTTCTTTTGTTACTGGAACGGCTTTATTCGTGGATGGTGGGTACACCCAGCGCTGAGTTAGCATTTGTTTATAGGAATAACATCTGCAGTAATCAAGTTACTACAAAATCATGAACCACACGTAATATTTCCCCGCGGTTCGGCTGGTGATGTCACCACCGACAATGTCACATCGACCGGTTTCTTGCTTCGCTCTCCAATATTTTTAGAACATGATTTGGCCAATCATTTCTTCCTGAATATAATCAATTGATGCCCTCACATCAGATGAGGAGTTCCGTCTACTCCGTAACCCAGGCCGTCAGCAGCTAAAGTATGATCAAGTCCAGGAGGCTGGTCATCTCTTATATTCTCAACATTCGTCTTCAATTGTCAATTTCTCAATTTGGTCATTCGAATACCTTTCGAGCTGCTTCCAGGAGTTTCATCCAGAAAGAACGGCATTTCACCAATCAGGCGAGCCTCACCCGTCGTTCATGCCGCAAACAACACATATCTGCCTGTTACAATTCCAAGTCATATCAAAAAGCAAATATGAACACCCACCGTGTCCCAATGGCTCCTCAGCGTGTGGATGCCCCGCTCACGAAATTTGCTACCTTTCTTGTTCTCTCTGTGACCAACAAGTCCAATGCTATTGAAAACGTGCGCTCTACACTGGCAGGTGTGGACAGCCTAGCCAAAAATGTGTCCATCCGCGACCTCAGCGCCCAATTTGCGTGCACCGTTGGCATTGGAAGTGACATCTGGGATCGCCTCACGGGTTTTCCCCGACCCTCAGAGCTGCACCCTTTCCGTGAGGTCAAAGGCGAAAAACACACCGCGGTCTCGACCACCGGTGATTTACTTTTCCACATTCGCTCGGAGCGCAGAGATATCTGCTTTGAATTCGAACGGCAGCTACTGGACCAACTCGGCGACTCGGTCTCCGTCATCGATGAGACCGTCGGTTTTCGATACTTTGATGTCCGGGATCTTCTTGGATTTGTGGACGGTACGGCTAATCCGGTTGGACTGGCGGTTCCGGCTTCCGTTCTGGTCACAGAGGAAGATACAGCTGCCGCGGGTGGCAGCTATATCGTCGTACAGAAGTACAGTCATGATCTACCTGGATGGAAAGATCTCTCGACGGAACAGCAGGAAGGGATCATCGGCCGCACCAAAATAGATAATATTGAGCTAGATGATGCCAAGTCGGGTCAGCGCTCTCACAAGACACTCACCACGGTTGAAGATGAGGATGGGAATGAGCATGATATTCTTCGTGATAATATGCCATTTGGATCTCCTGGTTCTGGCGAGTTTGGGACTTACTTCATAGGCTATACTCGTCGCCTTTGGGTGATTGAAAGAATGATGGAGCGTATGTTTATTGGCGATCCTCCTGGCCTGCATGATCGTATCCTTGATTTCTCGAAGCCGCTTACTGGGACGACATTCTTTGCTCCTTCTGCCAGTTTATTGTCTAGTTTGGGGTCTGACTGAGGTTGATTCGTTCTGATTGTGGTATGCTTATGGGCAGTGTAAACAATACGTTCAATGGTGATAGTTGATAAGTATTTATCCATATCAAAGCTTAGAACTTGACAGTTGAGCAAATGCCAAACCTTTCCAACCAGCTGCCTTAGACTCAGCGCATCTTCGGCGATACTCCACCGCACTCCCACTGTACCTCGCAACACTTCGAACAGTCTTCCCCTTCACATTCGTATTAACCCCGGTCATCCAGCTGTCGATTTCGTTTGACAAAGCACCTTTGCTGCATTCAACAACGTGTTCCGTCCATGCATTCACAGCTTCTCCCGTCGGCTCTATATAGGAGTAGCTGTTGTCTTTGCAGTGTTGTAAGAGATCCGAAATAACCTCCACGGCGTGCTCGATAGTCCGGGGAGCATTGCCGAATGGTTGGTGAGGACCCAGGACCATGAACATGTTAGGCATATCGCAAGCCGTCATACCCAAGTATGTACGGGGCCGGTGATCAACCCAAATTGCTTGCTCGCCTTGCTTGGTGTTGCTGGAGCCGAGAAGAGGGCGACCGTTTCTCCCTGTCCAATCAATGGAGCTGAATGCACCGGTAATGGCGTCAAAGCCCGTTGCATAGATCAAAACATCCAATTTATGCTCTTTGCCATCAGATGTGACAATACCATTCTTCGTGACTCTCTCAATTGGCGTTTTCTTGAGATCAACAAGGTGGACATTAGGCTGGTTAAATGCCTCAAAGTATCCACTCTCGAGAGGGACACGTCGTGTGCCAAAGCCATGATCTTTGGGAATCATGCTGTCAGCAACCTCGGGATCATGTATTCTGGCTCGAATTTTGCTGGCCATAAAATCGGAGTACAGTTTGTTTGCTTCACGGTTGTTGTATGTGTCGCTGAATGTGCCTAGCCATTTGGCAAAACCGGGCTTTGCATATATATCTTCCCAAAGCTCCAACCGCTCTTCTGCAGATACTTCCAGGGACTTCCGTGGGTCGGCTTGGTGCATGAAGCAGCTGGGTGTTTTGGCGCAGAGTTGGAAAACGGCACCGTAGTTTTTGCGGTGCTGCTCCATCTGCTCGGGCCTAATCACCTCGTTCCGTAGGGGCGCAGACCAGTTTGCCGTGCGTTGGAAAACATTCAATGATCTGATGCTCGGTTCTTTTGAGATCGCTGTGATTGTTTGAATTCCCGTTGCGCCGGTGCCGATGACACCCACCCGCTTGTTGGCCAGATCACGCTTCATGTCAAAGTCTTTGGGCCACCGGGAGGTATGGAACGCCTTTCCTTGGAACATTTCAATATCTGGAATGGCAGGAAGCGTCGGGGTTGAGAGGAAACCCATGCAGCTGACGAAGAAACGGGTTCGGTGATGGGTGCCGACTTCGTCGCGAAACAGCCAAGTATTGTTCTTATCCTGCCAAACGGCTTTCTTAACTCGAGTGTTAAGTTGGATATTTTTGTAAAGGTTGTGCTTGTCGCAGACATGTTCAATATAACGGAGCACCTCTGACTGGGTGGAGAAGGACTCCCCCCAGGTCCATTCGTTCAAGAGGTCTTTGTCCCACGAGTATGCGTAGGAAAGTGATTCGGTGTCAACTCGTGCTCCAGGGTAGCGGTTGCAATACCAAGTTCCCCCAACATTATCGGCTGCCTCCAGAACTCCAACGCGCCACGATGGAAAGCGCTTTCGGAAGTTGTGTAGTGCGCAGATACCCGAAAGACCGGCACCGATGATAAGGACATCGTACTGCTGTTCTATGATCTCGATGGATCCCATAGTGTAAGACTGTCAGCGGGGAATCAAGATAAGAAATCTCTGTCTTGTTGTTGTTTATCCAGGTCTTCGGCGACTCTCGATGAACTTTATAGGATTACATTGTGACTCGTGAGACCACAGTTCCCGGTGGAGCTGCAATATGTGGGACAACATTTCGAGTGCAAAAAGGTTCTCAGGCTTTCGCGGTGACTTTCCTCTTCCAATATGCCAATGCCATATCTCAATGCAGCTGCTGACGTCTTATCAAGCCACTACGTAGCCCTTCACTAGGCCTAAAATGGTATAAACCTTATTCTTATCTTCCCCGCACTTGATATGTCACGTGTCGCGGACGCTTTACTCTTTGGCATGGCTCTCACATTTTCCAATGAGAGACCCTATCGAAAATACATAGAAATAAAGATAAATTGGTAGAAAAATCACCGGCTACCTTACCATTACATCATAGCAAAAACGAAGGTATACAAACCCCGCTAAAGCGGAAGGATTGTCCGAGAGCACGTGGTCTCTTGGCATTTTAGATTATGGCATTTTTATTTTTGCGTGTTTGAAACCGGCAGAATCACGATAAATACATAGTCCCGTGGGCGGTAAGTCTAAAAAGCAAACCGAGGGGCACTAAGCCCAATTAGGTAGCTCTAACTATGAGTTTGTTGCTAGAATCTCTTCGAACCATGTAATCTCATAACAATTGAAATCATAAGACACTATATGACTTTAAAAGGGATAGAAGTTTTCACTTTTTCAGTTACTTTCGCTCTTTGAGCTCGCAGAGTATCTGACGGGCAGCCATCTGCGTGTTTCTGTATTTTTCCATATCAAAATCTCCATTTCGATTGTGCACAAGGCGAATAAATAAGCCTCTATACATGTTGTGAGCCGGCGGGAAATGTTGTCCTCTGGAAATAAAAATCAAGAACCTTTTCCTGCCTAGTAATTCTAGTATGTACGCATCAGGAAACGATAATAGAGCGTGTGACCAAGTACCAAGGTTTGTTGTCGCTTTCAACTCCTCATCCCCTCCCCAACCTTTCTCACGTTCACTTACCAACCTTTTCATCATCATTCTGCACTTCTACCTATCATGGAATCATTGACCGTTCTGCAATCCTGGATCCCTAGCGGACTAGATGAAGGCGACAGGATCACCCTCGATAAGCCTAGCCCTTCGGAATGGGTGGTCGGCAAACTGGTCAATAAGCATACCTACCAATCTGACCTGATGCGCGTTCACTCTTACGTGTGTATTCAGTTTGAATGCCACAATGCTACCAATGAGAAACATGGATTTATGCGTGTTTATGTCCAAGTTCCACATGTTGGTTATGAGCACGCAGACCAAGCTACCCGCGCTAGAGAAGCAACCAAATTCACTCCCCCCGAGCTAGATGCATACAAATTTCTCACTCAATATGCCTCACAAAATACGCCCCACCTCCTAGCATACGAAGAAGGCACCCAAGATACCGGAGGACCAGTTCCGGGAGGGCATATCACGTGGATTGTTTGGGAGAAGGTGCCTGGAAAATCGCTAGGAGGTCCTAGATATGCCTCTACATTCTGGGATATGGATCGTGAGGAACGAGATCGTGTGCGTGAGGCCTTCCTTGAACAGTTTCCGTGAGTTAACCACCTTCCACCTTTCAACTACTCCTTGAAACGCTAATATAATTGTTAGTAAGCTTATGAAAATGGGATATTTCCCTGACGGTGCTGGCCCTTCTAATTTGGTCTGGGATAAGGAGACCGGTGCGCTGTATGTTATTATTCTTATAATCATATGGGTTTAACGAACGTTATGGATATAGTTATTTCGTTAGTTTCCGAGATTCGAAGCCATTCAAGGCCAAAGGAACTTTCGGTAAAGAGTGGTGGCCAGAGTTCGATCTTGCTAAGCCCCCTCAGAGACATTACCAGTGGGAAATACACTACAATGGTGATGTCTCGGCGTGGACGCTTTGATTTCACGGTTCCTCTGGATTATCTTATCTGGGTGCTGTCAAAACTAGGAGAGTTGGTGACCGTAATTTCTGGGAGGTGGGGGCAGTCTTTGTTGTCGAGCACTGGGGAATGGAAGGAAAGGAAGTAGAAGGAGCAAACAATGTAGCTACTGCCAGAAAAAAATCTCAACAATTGCTCTAGTCCTAGCCTTCTCCTCCACTCGAGCAGCTTCGAATACTCCCTCCTCATTATCAATCAGTCATTACTCTACTCAACCCTTTGGTTCCTATCATCATTTCACGAATTCAGTGAGGTTCTACAGTCCAAACAAAATCCGGGGTTAGACTAACATTGATCTCATTAGATCTACGAACTTACATCAGAAACGAGATGTCTTACGTTACCTTTCTAGCAGCCCCAGACCTTCTTCTTGAGCCTCTTCCACTCCTCCGAGTTGGCCCGAATCATACTACCAGTAGCGCTATACAAGCTGTGGATTTTGTAGGGAGGCTGGAGCCATGGCCTAACTTCCAACAGGAGGTTAGTGCGACCTTCTTATCGCCAAATCCACCTTGGAGTAGTATTACCCTTGAAGTGGCTATAGCTGGCCCCGTGCGCAGAGCTCCGTCTACCAGGAACAATTAGTACTGGGAGATGAGACCGGCCTACAAGGGCGTTTGAATGAACGTCTTAGTCTCTTGCCTTCAGGTACAAGGCCACGACTTACGAGCTGGGGACTTTAAGGCGTCTAGGCCAGATGCATGAGTTGGATACACCAGAGTTCCAGATCTGGTAGTCCTAGATGGTAGTGCTACCATTAGAGTGATCGGGGAGGCGAAGACCCCGTGGGCCCCAACCCATATCAGCATGCTGAGCAAAGCAGTGCGATTTTTTCAAGCGGGGGATCAGCATAGTCTTCGCCGTATCCTGGGTATGTATAATATGCACTATGCTCACAAATAAATATGCTAATATTCATATTATCTTGCAGGGCAGGTTGCCCGCTACATGCAGGAACTGAATGTTCGACATGCCTTTCTATCCACATATGAGGAAACAATATTCCTCAGAAAGGTTGAGGTCCAAGGGGTCTGGACTCTCCAATTCTCTCCCACGGTCTTGTTCAATGATGTGTATAATCCCCAAGGAAGGACTATCACCACACGGCAAGGGCTTTTCCACTTAGCCCTCCTCGGAGAATTTGCCCCCGTATTTACTGAAAGAAAAAGTACTGGACCAACTCCGCGCAACCGGAAATGGACCAATTGACTAGCTGGTACGAGGTTGATATCCTTAAATGCTGCTATGGGTGATAACAATACATTTCTCTAGGGCTACTTTAAACAAACCGAACCTATCACCATCATCAATCGGAAATCCCAAGGGCAATACCAAGGAGTACCAATGCCGCATCAGTAATGGGCAGGTGTAGGATCAGTGGTGCAGCAACTTTGACCTGACATATCATCAAAACATCGATAGTGAAGATATGGTCAGTCGGATAAAGTGGAGAAGTGAAGATGTGAAGAATGGAATTGGAGAAGCTCGTCTCCTCTGACACCACACCACTCTCTTCCCTCTCATCTGTGGATTCCGAGATCCGTGTTTAGCAAAGAGAATTTACAAGGAAAAACTGGTTATCTCGTCTGGGGTTTCACTGTTTCAGCTTCAAGGTCGAAATCAAGAAAGTTGATACCTGAAAGTTCAAATAAATAATATTCTGGTAACGCCGCGAGCAGAGAATAAGAATAGGCTGCCTTATTATATTATATTCTTTTCGTATGCTTTATATAGGTTCATGACAAGACTGTATGCCGTATGTTCGAGTTTCAATATATGAAGAGAAGAGACCGAGAATAACAAATCACTGCAACACCATAACCCACAAAATATAAACAAAAAGCGAATGAAACCAGAAATTACTCGTTCTGTAAATGACGATGAAGTAGTATGCAGCCCATATATAGCAAGCGACGCCCCAAATAACATTGCTATGTACCCACTCCGATGGATGCATCATGTGCTCTGCAAGTATGAAAGTGTTCACACCTCACCCCAGGTGCCGAGCCCAGCTCCAACACCGATGACACTATTACTTTCGCTGCCACCAATATCCCAATAGTTCCGGCTAGAACTTGTCATCGTCCGCCGGCTGGAAATAGCTGAGAGCTTGGCACTCTGGCTGGCGCAACTGGAGCCAGGCCGCCGATGCGGTCGTACGATTGGGGAGGAGACACCCGCTGTGTTTGATACACCGGAGAATTGTGATGCGCGACGGGCCTGGGTTTGTGATCTGGAGTAGGCTCGCGCCACGAGTGGGTGATGTTGCCGGATGATGGCGGCTCGGCGGGATGCGTCTTGCGCGCGGCGCGGTGGGGTTGGTGTGTGCGCTTCGTTGGGCATGTAACCTCGGCGGCTGAAGCGGTTGCGGAGGTAGCGGAATACCATCATTACATCGAGTCCGCTTTCCCAATACTCGGATTCGTGTTGAAGCTTTATTGATTCGGAAAGTTGGTCAGATCGCTTTGGATCGTCATCTTCGATTCCCCATTGTGCTTCGTGCTCCCGATTCGAGTCTCGAAGTGTGGGCGTGAAGTGCGGTGATAGCATGGAATCGCCAGTTGTATCAGCAACGGTTGATGCGGTCGACTCGGCAGGTTTCTGAGAAATTCCGCTTTCTGCTAGCCGGTTGAGAGACATCCCCGCATATTCGGCGGATATGTCTTTGGTCATTTGATAATAGGTTGTAAATGCCCCGGGGTGTTCACAAATTTGATGGACAAGGATTCCCAGCTCATGAGCGATCGTTTGGAGCACCTTTGTCTGCCAGAGTGGCGAATAACTGAATTCTGGCTCTGGTTCACGAGCTAGTACCGTTTCCATGTCTAGTGGATCTTCATGCGGGAGAGGTTGCGCGTCCAGCGGCAACGACTCACCAAAGATCACGGAGAGCAAGGAATCATCAATCCCGATGAGGTCACGGATCACCGTGCGTGTGATGCGGCGCCAGAAAGACTCTTCATCCTCCGAGACATCTTTCGACAGTGATATATCCCGTGATAGCACCTCAGATACACGACTTTGTGGGCTAGGATCAACCGAATGACGAAGGCTCGATCGGCTGGTCAGACTAGTACGCCTCTGTCGGGTTTCTCGTTCGATTTCCTGCAATAGAGCCCGGCTCTGGTCCATGCGCCATTCTTCGATTCGCTGCCACCGTTCTCGCTCGACATTTGTCTCGCCCTCCTCAACAGTATCCAGATATCTCTGCACACTCGAGTAACTGTGATGTTGAATATGGCCGTACGCGGGCCGTTGGGGGTTGTATTGCTCATGCTGCCACAGCTGATCCTGGACTGCCTGACTCGAGGCCTGGAAACTGCCTAACCCATCATGGGCCGGGAGCATGGCAGGCGGCCCCTGATCGAACCATGTTGGGGAAACCGGGGCTAGGTCTGGTATTCGAAAAGCGTGCAGTCCATCGTCTAGGCTGTCTAGTTCGGTTCCATCTTCGTCCAGTTGGTCGTCGAGGGCATTCTCGTCATCGGCTTCTCCCTCGGCGCCGATTCCAGAGCGGGTTGCAGCAAAGGAGCCGAAGTCACTCAGCCGAGAAGCACCTACGGTACGCGTACGATCGGTTGAAGTGGTGTGTGTCCGAGCGGTCGGGGAGAATAGGACCCATTGTGCGGTGTCGTCATCGCGCTGTTCCGACAAGGAGGAGGGGATGTCGAGAGTAGGTGGCGGAGGGGTTGAATAGGAAGTTCTGCGGCGGGGGACGTGTGTTGGGACCTGGAAGGCCATCTTGTTGATTTGATCGCAGCCAAAGTAGATAGATAGTACGATAAGCGGGTTCGATGGTGGATCCAGAGAGAGGGGAGTTAAGGCTGTTCAAGCGGGGATTATAAGCATTAGAGTATATGGAGGAGATTGGTATAAATAAGAGGAACTAAGAAAGGAGGAGTAGAAAGAATCCAAGTCCAAAAACAAGAAAGGACAAGCTTGAAAGAGTGTCCTGGTGATGTGATGTGAGGGAGAGAGATTAGCTGATAAGCGGGAAGATGGGCCCGCGGGAGCCCGAGTCGCCCTGGGATCGGCCAGTGATCTACCAATGATGCAACCGGTATCGGAATGGTGAGACCAGTTGTTTATCCGTTCTGTATTGCGCGTAGAAGAGGTCATAAGATAATGTAGAGCCATGTTGAGTATATTACAATATTGGGTACGGAGGAGTGACCCTATTACTATGGCCTGAAGTATGGCAGGTGCCTCAAGGACTATAAGCAGGCAGAATAAGATCACTGGTCAACTCCCTTTAGAGTCAACTTCCTTTAGAATCACTTTCTTTAGAATCACTTCCTTTAGAATCAACTTCCTTTACGGAGTAGAGTAGGAAGTATGTTGTAAAGTAAAGTGTTGTTGTCGCCACTTCAGATGCCTGATAATCACATGATCTGTTGTTATCCATTGGGTCACATGTCTTTCAGAGGTACGGAGTATAGAACTAAACTATTGCGAACATCGGCGTTTTTGACCTTTATAACATCGGTCCCCGATTCCTTGGCCACTTGGCAGAAGATGGTCGTGTGATTGGATTCTTGATAGAACGTATCAAGAACGCCCGGCATCAAACACGGCGATACAAACTGATTCAACTTTCTCATTCGTGGTTCAACGGCTGTTTTACAAATTCCCTAGCGGATCCATCACGTCCAGGTGGGGGAGGTCTTCTTCAAATAATTTGTTGCCTACTTTTAGGGTGTTGATAGTGATATCCACGTACGGAGTACCCCCTTAGATAATCGTACCCCTGAAAATTTAGGCGCACCTTCCTAATTGGGTACAGATATTGTCGCTCTCCTTCTAACTAAGTTAAACTTCCCAGTAGTAAGACAGAAGGTACCTACAATTTGTATGTAAACTCCTAACAAAAATAAGTCACTCCTATCATATCCTCAGGTATCAACTACTTCACTGCTTCATCCTTGCCCTTGCTGATGGGAGCTTCATTCTCTTGTTCACAATGTCTACCACGATTTCCATCAGGCACTTGCGACCGCGCCTGAGTAGGGGATTTGCAGATTTATACCGAAAGGACAGATGGAGAGAAGTGAAAGATGCGAATTTGAATGGTGTCATCGCTCACGGGGTATATATTAGACTACTATGATATAGCATCTCGAGCCGACGATCAATCCTTCCCAGCTAAGGCCTCTCCGACCCAATCCATCTGCACAGCACTGACACCACGCGCATAACTACGGTTGGTGAATACGAATTCGTTGTACATGATTGCCTCGAGCTTTTTGCCGTAAAGCACACTAGACGGGTGAATGGCGACCGTTTGGTTTCCAACGATCGTACGATAACTGCCATCGGGCACGAGACGAGCCGTATTGCTCGCGAATCCAGCTAGGAAGCTCTGGAGAATGAGGATGGGCGAGGGGTCGTGTAGTGAGGTATTGTTTAGGGCTTCGTTGGTGAGCAGCTTGGCTTGTCGGCATTGGGTGCGAAGTTGCTTGCGAACGTCCTGATGTGTTCTCGTTAGTTTTATATGACTGCCGTCCAATCATGTACAACTCACCATGACAGATTGCATCGCCCGGTGGGATACCAGGTGTCGCTCTGCCCATGCTTTACGGTCGGCGTGTTCAGCGGCATACACACGAACGGTCGTCAGCATTGTGAGGTGGTCACCCTCGCGCCGGTATAGATCACGACGGGCTGCTTCTGCTGCCTCCTTCTTTTCTTCCGAGGTGGTGTTCAAGAAGATGTTCTCCACACTGAGACATGAAATGATATCAATAACATCTAGCAAACATTCAGGCCCATTTTCGGCAGCTGCCAACAGTACACGTCCTAGAGTTGGAGTCAAGGGTAGCTTGGCAATATGTAGGCCGACGGCGCTGATCTTTCCATCGTCTTCAAGCGCATTAATGTTCAATAGCTGCAGAAGAGCTTTCTCGAGTGCTTCGCGTGGTGGTCGTGTCAGGAATGGGAACCCAACAATGTCATCAACGCCACGAGCCTTCATGTTCAGTAGGGCTTGGCTCAGATCACAGCGCAGAATCTCGGGCGTGTTTGTCTCATCCAAGGCCAGATAGTCTTTCTCTGTGTACAAGCGGAAACATTGACCAGGAGCCTCACGACCAGCTCGACCCTTCCGCTGGATTGCAGCTGACTTGGAGATAGGCTTCACTAGGAGCGAGTCAAGACCAAGACGAGTTCGGAACTGCTTGACTTTGGCCTTGCCGCAGTCAATCACGTGCCGTACACCAGACACAGTGACAGAAGTCTCAGCAATATTGGTAGATAGCACAACTTTGCGCGTTCGTGGTGGAGCAGGGGCAAAGACCCGTTGTTGAGCAGCCTGTGGCAGCGCGGCGAACAGAGGTAGAACCAGGATTTTAGGAAGTGATGGGTCCATACCCATGGCGTACTCATTCACTAGGTGTTCCAAGGCTTCGACGGTTTCCTGGCCAGTCAGGAAGACAAGGATATCACCCGGCATTGGTTCCTTCTGGTGAATCTGAAAGATGATTTTCAGCGCTGCATCCACGAAGTCATGCACTGGCGCGGGGGAGTAGATGGTTTTGACTGCAAATTGTCGACCCTTAATACGGCAGACAGAGATATCCTTTGGACTCGAAGTATGAATTTTATCGGCTCCGGCCTCGACTCCCTCAATAGCCTTCTGTTCTGGCTCCGGTCTTTTGAATCCTTGTTGGAAGAAGTCTGTCAAACTCTCCATATCAGCCGTAGCACTCATGACAACCACCTTCAGCGGCACACCACCTCGACCCTCCTTCTTTCCAGATACAAGATTACGCAGGAATCCAAGTGTCAGATCCACATTGATGCCTCGTTCGTGGACCTCATCAACCACAATAGCGCTGTACTTAGTCAAGTTGGGATCGTGCAACATCTCCTGGAGCAGCATTCCCTCAGTCAAGAACTTGATCCGCGTACTAGGCGATGTCGACGTATCAAATCGCACAGAGTAGCCGACCTTGCTGGCAGGCGAGTGCGATCCAAGCGGTGTACCCATCTCCTCGGCTACACGGCGGGCCAGCGAAATGGCAGCGACTCGTCTCGGCTGCGTGATAGCGATGCATCCTCCGACCATTTTCTTTTCCGTCTTTCCATCCCGTGTGATTTGCGTAGGTACGGGCCGACACCAGAATTCGTCTACCAGGAACTGCGGGATCTGCGTACTCTTTCCGCTACCCGTCTCACCGACCAACAGCATCACATCTTGTTCTCGTAGCAGATCGCGGATCAAATCAGCATTTTCGAATACAGGGAGCTTTCGCCGCGTCTCGAGGAGGGCTTTGGCCTTTTCTCGTAAAGGAGTGAAGTTGGTTTTGGTATCGGTGAACGGTTTGGACTTCGACTTCGGGTGTGATTTTGTTGCTGCTGGGCCGTTTGTTTGAGATGCTGTCTGCGGCCATTTTTTTGGAACAGAGACTGATCTTTCTACCTCCTTGGCAGATGCAGGGATTTCCCTCGGTTCATCTTGATCGGCGGGTTTGGAGGTTTCGGGCTCATCGAGCTTGCGCTTCTTGTTTCTCTTCTTCTTTTGCTCGGGTTCTTCTGTGGGTTGAGATGAAAGGGTTTGCTTTAAAATCCTCTCATCATCCGAGGCCGCGAACACGGTGCGAACCTTTTCCGGCATTTTGAGGTGAGGCGCGAAAGAATGTTCACCAGGAAGCTCGAATCTGAAATTTTTGCCTTATCGATAAGATAAGCTGATAAACATTCTCCTTATCAACATCATCAGCCCTAGCGGCCTACATAACCCCTGTTATTCATACTCCGATCATTTTACTTTCGTAGTATCGTGACACGGCACGAATGAGCCGTTTTAGATATCTACTGTAAGCAAATAAAGTAAAATTGTGTGGACATTCCCTTGTTTGAGAAATTATTACTTCCGACTCAGTTTCCATCCGCTTTGCAGACCTTCTTATGTATCTTCCAATCAGCCTTTTGACAGTCTCTGGAGCAGTACTTTGCTTTATGACAACGCGAGCAAGGGACCCGTGGCCCGCATCTGCTGGAGGGCATAAGCAAAAGCCACCGAATCTCCAACAAAGAATCGCAGTGTGATCAAGTCAGCCTTGGAATGCGCCCTGAACGACTTCATTCAGGTGCCGAACTCTGTCTCGGCAGTTTTGATAATTTCATGTAGGTCAGGATTCTCGGAAGAGGACTTTTAGAAACAAGTGCCAGCAAGAGTTTGTCGTCATCCGACCGACTCCCCGCAGCCCTGTCCAGCACGAATATATTCATCCCATATTTCCCAGTCCGGGTCAATAAGCTTGATCCGGTACTCCTGAGGCTCACAGTCGAGCCAAGCATCCACTGTGTATACAAGGTTATGCTTCTGGATGTCTGGAATACCCGGCACTATCATAAACTTGGCTGGCGGTGGCGGACACCTCCTGACTAACCATTCCAATGTTAGCATACTCGCTCAGTGCTATGTGACAGTGCGGTAAAAAAAAAGCATGGCACGGTAGGTGTGTCGATGCAGCAACTGTCGAACTGCATCAACGGGCACAACGCGGGGATAGGCAGGTGGGAAAATGGGCATAGCAACGGGGCAAAGCGGACACGGATTATAAACTTACATGTCAGGGCGGGGGGCGTATTGGGGATGGCGGGGGCAGAGCCTGATTGGTACTCATCAGCGTCCATTCAAGTATGATTGCAACTGACCTGTATACATAACAACTGACCTTCTCCACCAGAGCCTGGAGCCTTTGCCTCCTTGTGGAGCTCTTCCGGAGAAATGGGGACGCGGCCTAACATACTTATCAGCGTCTAGTCTTTTGATGATGTAACTGGCTTGGATTCTGAACAAGCAATCACTGACCTTCTTCGCCAGAGGCTGGATCCTCAGCATCCTTGTGAATGGCGTTCTTGGCGGCTAAGAGCACAGGTAGATTAGCCTTATTTCTTCTTGCACAGGAAAATCGTTTAGGATATCCTGTACCTCTCTTATCGACCTTGGCTGCTCATTGGCATTAGCCATATTTCTTCCAGCGAGAGAAGATAGCCTGAAGAGATAACGAGAGGCAAGGTAGAGGTATCATGAAGTGGGTGGCTCGATGGAATAAAATAACACATACCCGTCTTGGCCTCGTTTGAGCGGGAGCCGCGGCATGGCTTGCGGCGTTTTGGGGTGTTGGCCTGCTTCGTCACCCAAAATTAATCTTTATTTGCGGGATAAGCATATGGATCTTACGCGCGACATAATTGAAGTAGCGTTCATCATGGCCACGCCGGCCATAAGACGGCATTCGACCATAGAGTGACCGAGCCGGCGACAGAAATCGCAAAAGGGGGGCTGTTATATCTCTCAGTGAACGTCCCATCAGTGAGGATGACGGTCATGATAGAAGTCTCGACAGAGAGGTATTGGAGATATCCATCCTTACGGATGACTCCCCAGTTGGCATTTTGGCCGAGGAGAACAACGAGAGGAGGTTATTATGAAGGAAAAAAAAGCAGGGCCAGAGTGAAAACGGGGAATTTACACAAAGGCAAGTTACTCCTGCTGGGTCCCACCAATATATAGGGCATATGACCAAGAACAGTATAGTAAGTTGATAATATATGAGACTAAACTATGTACAGACCGGGCCTATCCAAATATTACGTAGATGAGCTGTGTCATCCAACGACATACTCCGCTGCCTTTTCCAGTGTCGGCATCAATATTCCTTCTCCCTGTATTCCATTTCTCCATTTCTCCATTTCTCCTCCTTCACAACACATCCATTTTCTTTTCGTCGAAATGACTTGCAGACAAGCCTCAGCCTCACGCCTTTCTCCGTTCCCTCTTTCAACAAGTCAGAGATCTTGAACCTGACTTCCCTTCTTCTGATGAGATTCGGAGACTTGGAATTCATATATATGTAAAGTAGAATTAAGTCTGGCAAAATTAAATTGATGTTTCTTGGTTAGTAAGACAAAATACTGAAAAATCAGGCGTAACAATCCCCCCTTAGTACCTTTATTTGCTTGCTACCTTTCGCTCTTTGCTTACAACCTTGGAATAAAGCATTGAACTTAGTGAGGCATCTCTTTCAGCAGGCTACACTATATGACTTTGATTTTGATATCCTTGAACAGAGTGCTAGATTATGATCGTGATTTATGTAAAGCTCTGTGGCGGAAAATCGTGCAGCGTATTTTACCACAAGACTATAACAAAAACCAAGGTCCCTGTTTAAGGCCTAGGCGGGCCATATCCCATTCTGACAATCTGGCCTATCTAAAAATTTGGTTCTGCTGGAGGAAGAGAAAATTCCCGTGGTCTATTCTATTCAAGCCGGGTCGCTTCTATGGTCTTCTCCGCATCAACCGGCCCCTTGGACTCAAGATCTTTCTTTGGCTGTCCCTGCTTGATACTCTTCCACTCTAGAGTAGCCGCACCCAGTAGTGTCAGACACGAAATAATCAAACCGACCTGAAACACCTTCTTGAGCGCTTCGTTGTAGGAGTAGAGAACCACGTCGTGCAGATGCGCCGGCATTGAATTCAGCAGCTCCGTAACACCACCGGAGGTGACAAGACGGGGGTTGAACCCCGGCAGCCCGGAAAGTTTCTTCACCAGCTGATTGGCCAGAATATTTTCCCCGACGGAGACAAAGATGGCTGCCCCGATCAATTGACCGAACAGCATCAGTGCTAAGCCAGAGGGCACGTCGGGCTTTGGAAGAACAGTTTGTGCGGCGAGATTGGGGACTTGGAAACACAAGCCCAGACCGATTCCGTAGACGATCTGATAACCCATCCATTTTCCTTCCCCGGTATCTACCTGGAAAGTGGTGAGGAGACCGGCTCCGACGGACATGATGCAGGATCCGATAATCGCCAATGGAGTGTAGTATCCAATCTTGGAGTTTATGATTCCACCACTGATTGAGCCAACAACCATTGATATCATCGTCGGTAGCAGACGGATACCGGATTCCACAGCAGAACTGCCCTTGATGGATTGGAACCAGATTGGAAGGAAGTACACTGTGATTGAAGTCAGTAACATGAAATAATGTTTGATAGTGCGGTTTCATTACCAAAGATATAGATTCTAGATCCGACGCAGAGTGTCTGCCAGAAGCCTGAAATGATGCTGCGCTGCGAAAAGATGCGAACTGGAAGCGTAGCTGTCTGCGGAAGAAAGACCTGGACGACAACAAAAGAAATAAGTAAGACGCTCATGACAACCAGGCAAGCCACCACGCGGCTACTGCCCCACTGCAAAATGTCAGCTATAGTTGGAAATAATGGTGTACGGGACTTACAGCATACGTTTGGCCTCCCCATTGAAGTGCCAATATGAGACAGACCACGCCAGATACTAGAAGTGTAGTGCCGAAAAAATCCAGTTGCAGCATTTTCTCCGTCCAGGAGACCTTTGCTGTATATTGCTTGGGGACCTGGAGGCAGAAGGCAATGAAGACAATGGCAGCACCACCAATTGGCAGATTAATATAAAAGCACCATCTCCATGTCACCTTCGACGTAAAGACGCCACCAATCAAGGGACCCACGACAGAGGCAATGCCGAAAAGGGCGCCGAACAGTCCTTGAATTTGCGGACGCTTCTCAAGAGGAACGGCATGGATGATGCACATTATCTAAGTGAATCTTTTGTCAGCAATTGGCACAAAGGGTAGGGGCTAGAATCGACTTACAGTTCCAGCCAGTATTCCAGCAGCACCGACTCCACAGATTGCTCTTCCGATTATAAAGGCAACTGAATTCGGCGCCGCTCCACAAATAGCAGAGGCAAACTCAAACACTACAATACTGACAAGGAAGACAATTCTGACAGAAAAGAGCTTGTACAGCTTGCCGAACAGGAGTTGAAATGCGCAGCATGTCAACAAGTACGAGCTTCCGTACCAGCCAACGTGGTCGAAGGAATTGAATTCATCGGTGATTTTGGGTATGGCCTATCAATTGCGTATCTCTCAGCGCTAGAATTGGACTGAATTCAATGTATCATGATCATACCGTCGAGATAATTGTTCTGTCAAGCGCAACTAGGAACATGGCGACAAAGGCCGAGACGATGAGACAGACAACCCTAAGGGTGGACTGGTTCTCAGGTGGGCCCGAAGGACCTGGAGAGCCTCCAGCTTTGCCTGGTGCGACATCTTTGACTGGTGCATCATAATGTTCATGCAACAACTCTGGAGCGCCCATTGTAGCCGTTTTGGTGCTTTCAGATGTAGAGGTGCGTGGTGGAGACATACTACCCATAGTTACTGTGGTATTAGTAGCTCCACTAAGCAAGATGCGACCGATCGGTTATTGATGCGCGAGAGATAATCTTGTAGACCATAATAAATACCAAGGAAAGCTCCCATACTTAAAGGGGCCCAAGGGACAAAACATGGTCGGTGATTTCGCATTTTGCAGAGGATCAACACGATGATCGGGGGTTAGAAAGTGCGCCGGTTAGCAAGTGGCGTTGCTTCGGCACTTATAAAACCCGACTTCCCCCTTCCCGTTGTTTCTCTCAGTCAACCCAGGCTTCGGGGTCCAGGCTCCATTATTTGACGTCTCTGACGCAACAGGATAATCTCAGGTCATGGCGACGCCAATCTCCCCATCCGAACACACAGCCGCCGTCAAGGCCCGGCGCGTGCTGGCCTGCGTGCTGTGTCAGCAACGCAAGATCAAGTGTGATCGTACATTCCCTTGCGCCAACTGTGTACGTGCCAGCGAGCAGTGTGAACAGTCAACCCGCCAGCGACGCCGGAGGTTTCCTGAGAGAGAGTTGCTAGCGCGCCTGCGACGCTATGAGAGCCTGCTTCGCCAGCATAACATCGAGTTTGATCCTCTCCATACGCCTACTGCAAACCGTAGGTCTCCCAGCGAGGATGGCCAAGATGGACTTCCAGAGGGTGCCCACCCAGAAGGTGCTCTTCATGATACGGACTCTCGCCCGTCGAGAGAAAAGAAAGCAGTCAAGCCTAAATCATTGTATGAAACTCTGTGTTATTCTTTTCGTGAAACATACTTCTGGATGACTAATCAATAGTAGGAATCTCTGGCATGCTATGAATCAAAAGGTATGATCGATCACCTCTGTGAGTAATCGTGGGCTCACTGACAATTATGAAAGACTATTGATCCCAAGGATGATGATGGAAACGACGGTGACGACGACGACGATGAAAACGACACCGGGTTCCTCCACGACAACGTTGATATACGCCGCGCCGTAATCAAGACGGCATGGAACCATATGTTCCAAGGCAAAAGCAACGACCACCTTTTCTTCGGTTCACCGGTAGGGAACATCGATGACCTTTCTGCTTCGCATCCGACCCAGGTACAGATCTTCAGGCTTTGGCAGATCTACTTGGATAACGTGAATCCTCTTCTTAAAGTAACGCACACACCTACCCTTCAAACACGTATCATCGATGCTGCTAGCGACATCACCAATGTCGATCCCACATTGGAAGCATTGATGTTCAGTATCTACTGTGTCTCCATTCTGAGTCTCACAGAAGATCAGTGTATTACCTTGTTCGGATCTCCCAAAAAGGATATTTTGAAAGCCTATCAGTCTGCATGCCAGCAAGCGTTACGGAGTTGTTGTATTCTACGTTCCAGTAACCGTGAGTGCTTGACCGCATTGTATCTGTATCTAGTAGGTGTGTCCAAGCTTTTTATCTACACTCACTGATTTTTGCAGGTGTCGACCAGGCCTGACACGGACCCTGTATCTCTCTCATCAATGCTTAGCGTTGCTATAAGGATCGCCCAGCGGATAGGCATTCATAATGAGTCGTTATACAGTAAATGTTCCAGTCTCGAGGCAGAGATGAGTCGGAGACTGTGGTGGTCGCTCATTATCTTTGATAATCGCATCTGCGAAATGTCCGATTATAAAACCACGTCGCTAGCTCCTACCTGGGACTGCCGCATCCCTCTCAATGTTAGTGATTTTGAGCTTCAGCCAGATATTAAGGCCCCACCCGCAACAAGCAACAGACCAACAGAGATGCTCTTTGCTGTTGTGCGCAGCGAGCTCGCCGACTTCGTCCGTCACAGCGCCTTCCACCTCGAGTTTACCAATCCGTTTTTGAACACGACCGCCCGCCGATCTACCACCACAGACGAGGGGGAGCGACTTCTAGCGCTCGAGAGGATGATAGAGGAGAAATACCTCACATTCTGCAATCCAGAGAACCCACTGCATTTCATGACGATGTGGACAATGCGGGGCTATTTGGCCAAGAACCGTCTCTTGCAACACTACTCTCGATATTTGGCGGGCTCTGTGCAGCAGACAGCTACACAGCGGAACTCAGGTATCTCCCACGCACTGCGCATGCTAGAGTGCGATACCAACCTCATGGCATCGCCTCTCACCAAAGGATACCTGTGGCTTATTCACTTCCACTTCCCCTTCCCCGCGTACATTCACATCCTTCAGGATCTGAAGAAGAGGCCCATCGAGAAACATGCAGACCAGGCGTGGGAGGTCATGAGCAATAACTACGAGGCCCGCATGATGGATGCTAATGAGGAGGACCGCCCCTTCTTTATCGTCTTCTGTCGGATTGTCTTTCAGGCTTGGGAGGCACGTGAACAAATAGCGAGACAGCAGGAGACGCCCCTGGTGCCACCGCGGATTGTGTCGGATATCCGGAATAAAGTGATGCATATGATCTCGAATTTCGGACAAGATGCGGACACAATGCAGCCCGGTGGTTCCCTGGGTTCCAATATGGGTGACCTGTCGATGCCTACTGAGATGGATTTCAGTGTTCCTGGGATAGCATATGGTGCTGACTGGCAGGTTCCTACGGGTTTGGGACCGTGGGGGTATCCTGAGATTCCTGGGCCGAACTCAACGGACGTGGATGTAAATCAATTTCTTTTGGACACGATGGAGTGGAATACGTTGCATGTACGAACGGGGTGAGAGAATAGAACTTCTCATTTGAGATGAAAATTATGTGATTATGTACCTGTATAGTTAAGAACATATAGTCAATTGAATCTAGGGGCCCAGCTTGAACGCGCCTCGGATAGTATAATGTCCGAGCTGATAGTTCGGGGGTTAGCATGTCCGTTAAGTGGAGCTGCATTCCTCGCTGTGATTGGCTTGACTTGAGCTTAGATGCCTACAACATAGAAAGCCAAGGTTGGCGGCGCCACGGATCCACCCGTACCACATCGTGGCAAAGTCAATTGTATACCTACGGACTCCGAACCTGGCTGCCTGCAATTCTCTATAAAAGACACCCCCTATGTCTTCATATCCTCATTAGCTATCAGAGTCATAGTTTTACTTACTACACTACAACCGATCTTTTATCTTACAACTTCAAGCATGTCTATCCGAGCCCTCAACCAGAACTCCCCCTCCTTGAACTTTGCCGCCAACGCGGCGGGACAGGGCCCATCTCACCCTTTCTTCCATCCTCACGGAGGCGAGCATCCTTATTCCAACCCATGGTATCTTCAGTCTGGCAACGATCAACCCGGCCGCCCAGGCCATCCTTACTTGTCTCCGTGGGCCGAAACCGGCGACGAAGACCAGGACAATGGAGCCAACGACAACAGCGGGGATACCACCAGCCCTCGCAAGCCATACCCATACCCAGGGCCCGCGGAAGGTTATCCTCCGCACAACTTTCCTGGCGCCTCTGAAGGCCGCAAGCATTGCCCTTTCCCGGGCTACCCTCAACAGCCGTACACCTACCCAGGTCCTCTTCCATGGTATCAGTCACACGCCCATCCCGGCCCTGCGGAGGGTCAAAAGCCATACCCTTCCCTCTGGAATGACGAGAAATCCCAGCCCTATGCTCGCAAGCCGTACCCTTACCCTGGACCAGCCGATGGCTATAAACCCCATCACTATCCGGGTGCGGCTCCCTGGAGACAGCCCCACACCCCATGGGAGCAGGACGATAAGCCCAAGCCCTCCTTTCCTTGTCAACCGTATCAGTTTCCAGGTCCGTCGCAAAGCGCTGGTCCATTTTCCCAACAGCCTTACAAATACTCGGGTAACGCTCGCGGTGCTACTCCCTTCCCTCAGCGGTCATTCCCCATCGGCCAACAAATTGAACCCGGTAACAGAGGATGGGGCGGACTTTCCGCTCCTCATGCGTCCCACGGCCCTTGGGAATTTACCCAACAAGCACCTTACACATGCCCGTCTACTGCATCCGACAAATACAAGCCCGAGGTTGATGTATTTGACACCCCTGAGGCATTTGTGATCCACGTAGCCCTCCCCGGTACGAAGAGGGAGGATGTCGAAGTCAACTGGGATCCGAAGACGGTGGAAGTCAGCATCTCTGGGGTGATCAACCGACCTGGGCCTGAAGACCTAGTGAAGACAATTGCGCTGGATGAGCGAAAGGTTGGGGCGTTTGAGCGCAAGGTGCGATTGGGCAGTCGGGCCAATCCGCCCAAGGTAGATGGGGATGCGATCTCGGCCAAGTTGGAGGATGGGGTTCTTGTTATTGAGGTGCCAAAGACGGAGCCGGATGATGATGCTGAGGTTAAGAGGGTTGAGGTTGAGTAATTAGAGGTTTGATATAGATGAAATAGTCAATAGTAAAGACTTTGGGCCTCGTACACGGATCTTTCTCCCGTGTGTAGATTATCAAGAAAATAGAAATTTTGAGCTCAACCAATCCCCAGTTGTCTTGGGGGTTTCTTTACCTATACTAGTCATATATTTGAGCTTTTCACCTAAGGACCAACTAATTTGATTAGTGGTTTACATATAAATTGTAGTTATGTTCCTACTGTCTTACTACTACCATATGGCAGGAAATATGCCTAATTGTGAAGGCGGTACTGAAATTATGGCAGGGGGAAGAATAAGCCAGTAAGAGGCGGTTTTGCGTAGCATTAGAAGTTGGAATCAGTCGCTTCGCTCTGCAACGACTATCTAGAGGCCTTAGGCCGTCGAGATCCCTAGTATCACCAATCCACTAATTATTAGTTAGTAAATGTTGATGCCTGAAGATGCCTGAAGAGATGAAGCTATTCAGAGATCACCTGATCTGTCATCGAAGCAATTTGAATTAATTCTACCACCACCAATAATAGAGATAATTTAATTCTAAAAACGGCATTCAGATACTAAATAGATGGCACAGAGTAAATATTATCTAATTGATTAAATGAGACCGGTAGTTCATGCTAGTTGGGACTGGCATTTTGACTGCACGAAGAAAAGGGAGCTGAGTATACAGACGAGACCAAGGCGGTAAACAAATCATCCAAAACCTGCCGCAGTCTTCAAGGGAAAAGGGGAAATTCGAAGATCCTCTGTCAAACAATTATCCAAGCAATGAATAGGAACTAGACAACCGTAGCCTATTTGCGAACAATCCAATGGATGTGTCGCAATTCCAGGCAATTCCAGTCAGTGTTTTCAACTCAAAGTTCAATAGCTGATCCCCAAAGGTCATCCGCTGCACTGTGGCATCATCGGTCAACGATCGACTCCGATCTCGTGGAGTTCAGTAGACCATCGATCGATCTACTTTTTGCCATTATGACCTCCCATATTGTCTCTGTACTTTGGCAGACTCTTTCCATCGTGTCCGTTGCATTCCTTGTAATGAAACCCTGGAGAGTGCATGAAATGATGTATCATTCTGGAGGGGCGCCAGTGCCTAGGGAAGGATTTCCTACTATTAAAGAAAAGGTCTGTTTCCAGGACGTTATACAGCTGGGTCTCATATTTTCTTTACTCAAACAATGTCGCATACAGATCTCCGCGGCCTCCAGGGGCTCCATGATGGACTAAGAACCCCCGATGCAGAGTCATTGCGCTCATTCACTGAGACTATTCAAGACGAATACCACGAATGGGTCAGCGAGTCCGGTCGATTGTCACAGTAAGTTGAACTCAAGGTGGTAGGTTTCACTGAATGCGCTGACAAGACAGGACTGATCAATTATTGGACAACTTCCCCCATCCACCGAGATTGGAAAGTCTAAATGCAATTCACGAGGAAGAGATGGAAGTGTATCCCACACCAAATCCTTCTATCAAGAATCTGCGTCGACATGCGACGGCCAATGAGCTTCCTCTTCTACAGCAAATCAATCCAAATGAGGGAGCACCAGAGTTTAACCCCGTCAGCGAAGAGACCGGCTCATACGATCTCATTGCGCCCTACGATGGCGGCGATCTACCACTCTACAAGCTGGAACGAATTGCCGACATCATGTTTTCGTCCGAACACATGCTCACAATCCTAAATAACCCCCGATATCTAGCTCGATTTCGTGACTTTATTCTCGAAGAACGGCCGCGCTCCATTTCTACCCTCACGTACTACCTCAACGCCTCCAAGGCGCTTAAGGCAATTCAATATGCTAATGCGCTCGTCCGCCTCTCAATTGATGTGCCTCCCCCAGCAGTACGGACGGACGGGGAAGCCGCCGGGGTGGCGGTGAACCGTGTTTTGGAGCAGCGTGTTGTAGACGGGCTGTTGGCTCTCACTGCCGAGGAGCTCCCTGCATTTATCACAGCCAGATGTATCAACATCACAAGCAAGATCGTGGAGGAGCGAGTCCGAGGAACCTTGCCAATGAAGTTTCGCGGGACTTCGAATGCACTGGCAGAAGTATTTTGCCTGACAGACCCATCGCGACCTGACAATCCAATTATTTTCGCATCAGAAGGTATGTTTTTTTTTCCCCAGCTCGTTTTCCGAATCGAACTAACAAAATCAGAGTTCCACAGAACAACACAGTACGGCATGGATTACGTGCTTGGTCGAAATTGTCGCTTTTTACAAGGCCCAAAGACAAATGCGAACAGTGTTCGTCGACTTCGCGAAGCTATTCACGCAGGCCGGCATCATTCAGAAATGTTTCTCAACTAGTATGCTCTATAACTCAGCCTTTAGCCAATATAGTCACCCAGATAACTAACATAACCAGTCGTCGTGACGGCTCTCCATTCATGAACCTGCTCCAGTGCGCACCTCTATGCGACAGCCACGGCCGTGTCAAATACTTCATCGGCGCACAGATCGATGTCTCGGGACTTGCAATGGAGGGAGCCTCGATGGAATCCTTGATGGAACTACAAAATAAATACCGCGATCCCGACGAAGACAGCATCGCGGAGCCACCAGAAGCAGAAGAGAAGGATGAGTTCCGTGAGCTGACTGAACTGTTCAGTCCGCGGGAACTCTCCGCTGTTCAACAGTATGGTGGAAATCTGTTCCAACCTATGCAAAGCCTCGCATATCCGCATCACCCGCGATCATGGTTCCAGCCCGACGCATCCTTAGAAAGAGAGACTGAAGCCATCCGTCTACGTGAGATGAAATCGTCCTTTTTCCGGATGTCATTTGCGGGCGTGTATGAGAACGTAAGAGATGAGATGTTTATTTGCAAACTTCATGGCACAGACTAACATGATACATGATACAGTATCTCCTCGTTCGACCATACCCTTCCCTCCGGATTCTGTTCACGTCGCCCGCTCTCCAGATCCCAGGCATGCTGCAATCACCATTCCTATCCCGCATTGGCAGTTCCTCGGCAGTGAAAGATGACCTACTACAAGCTATGAAAGTTGGGCGCAGTGTGACTGCGCGTATCAAGTGGACAACGCGTTCCAATCCCGACGGTCGCAATCGATGGGTCCATTGCACGCCTCTACTTGCGAGTAATGGTCAAGTGGGTGTGTGGATGGTTGTAGTTGTGGATGATGGATGATGAAGATGAGGAGATATAGAATCCTAGTTTAATCTCCCATGTGTATATTTCCTTTTTATTGTGAATAGATCCATAATACCCCCTCTTCGGCATTCTCACGGAGTATGAGCTGCACGTTGGCACAGATGCTATCACACGTTAGATATTGACATTGAACCAATAGGCTGATTCTGTCTGCCGCTAATGGAAGTTGTCTTGCGTGCTCTTGCAATTAAATGCACATATCCAGTCTGCCTGATCTTCTCTTTTAAATACTCCTATGGTCGTCGTTGGGATTACAAATCTAGTCCTGGACGTATTCGACTTCATCTCCCCGTGGCTATACATCACCATCAGAAGAATTACCAAAACTTAACACTATCCCAATGTCAACAGCATCTCGCAATAGTCTACCCCGCACGGGTGTGGCCACACTCCTAGCAGGACTAAAGACGCCCGGCGAAATACAGCTGCCCAACGGCGCAGTGATACCTGTCGGCATCGGCGAGCCAGTTTATCGAGTGATTTTCCGCTCGGAGAGTGCGCTGCGCACACCAATGACAGAAATGGGCGTTGGCCGAGCTTATCTATCTGGTGATATCGAGGTTGAGGGTGACTTGGGCGCCCTGTTCAACGCCCGCCAGAATCTATAGGAGAAAGTGCCTCTGCGACAGAAATTCCAGTTCGTGTATGATTTTCTCCGGACCGCGACCAAGATGAACGCCAAGGCGATCGATGATCATTACGGGCTCGATGATGGGTTCTTTCTCTCCTTCCTTGACAAGCGCTTCCGGTTCTATACCCATGGTTTCTTCCAGCGACCCGACGAGACGCTCGAAGAAGCCTCCGAGCACAAAATGGAGACCATGTTTGCTTCTCTCGGCCTCAAACCAGGTATGAGAATTCTTGATATTGGTGGTGGGTGGGGTGGTGTGACGCAGTATTGTGCTGCTCGAGGCGTCCATGTCACGACGTTGACGATCGCGCCCAATAGCGCTCGTTATGTTCAACGTGTTATAGAGGAGAAGAATCTCCCTGGTCAAGTCTTCGTACAAGACTTTCTTGATCATAACCCAGAGGAGCCATACGACCATGTTGTGATATTAGGGGTGATTGAGCATATCCCTAATGATCAACGATTTGCACGCAGGATGTGGGATGTGTTGAAGCCCGGTGGCCGTATGTACCTTGACGGTTCGGCAGCTGTTGAGAAGTTTGCTGTTAGCTCTTTTACCAGAGACTATATTTGGCGTGGCACGCACACTTTTATGACTCTTCAGGACGTCCTTGCTGAGCTTTTATACCACGGGTTTGCGGTGCGGGATGTTACTAATGAGACTCGGGACTACGAGCTCACAATGTTGGAATGGGCAAAGCGTCTAGATTCGTCCAAAGATGATCTTATCGCGGGTTGGGGAGAACATAATTATCGTATCTTTCGCCTGTTCTTGTGGGGTGGTACGCATGCATTCAAGACCAATGCCTTGCAGGCTTACCATGTAGTCGCGGAACGAACATCTTCTCCTGGGCCACGTCCATCGATTCCCCGACGATTCCGCCAGTTTCTGAGCAACCTGCGTTGATATATTTTTGGCGATTCTCGAGATCCTTGCGGTTTCAATAAGGGGAAATACCTTATCACATTTTTCTTGGTGAAACGTTCTGTATTTCATTCTTAACCTTGTGACTCTGAATAGCTTCAGGGATGATACAAACCCCGAAACGATATTCAATATATTCAAATTCGTGTATATCTCATTTTCCATGTATGTAACAAATCTTTCGTGTATAAGTCATCAATCATATCAGTCCAAGCCCCAGCCGCGTACGCGCCGGAACACGAACGCTCGGTCATTGCGAAGACCGAATTCGCCCCAGTCGTCTGTCAGTCTGTTATAACTCCAGAAACCCTTCCAAGCTAGCTTGGTGTTCTTCGATGGGTTGGGAGGAGCTGGCCCGACTTGAGCAGATTTCGGTACGGTTGAGGAACGTAACGATAGATGCATCGTGTAAACATACTTGGGGTCTACACCCTCTGTTTCAATAATGAGATCCCGCTCGTCGGAAAGGAGCGATTTCTGATCAGACGTTGAGTCGGGCTTCCAGGCTTGAATGGGGGTGTCGGAAGTTTCTGATGTGTCAACGGGCGACGCCAAATGCCACCGGCCCCGAAGGCCATGCTTCAACGTATTCAGGGCGACGGGTGGTAAGGCATCAGTAGCTCCAGAAAGAGTATGACCCGCATCGGAGGGACGCCGTTGATTCTTTCGGTGTGCTGGGGTGCGTGCTGCCATCACATTCTCTTTGCTAATATGAGGGACCACATCGACTGGCTCCGTTGAAGTAAGCAGCGAGATGACCGAGCCATCTGGATAGAACCGCAGATAGCGGTAATAAGTCACGATATGGATGGGGCTGTTCCACGACAGATTCGTGTACGCAGATGCAGCACCAGGCCGAGTATAGTTGACCGTGCTAATGTAGATGCCTGTGAAGCGAATCCGAGGAAGGGTCTGGAACACTTGGCTCCACGAAGACAGCGGCTGGGGGATTTCCACAGGCCCGCCCTTGGGAAATGGAGTGTATCGCGGCGCAAGGGTATAGATTGGTTCCCCATGCAGGTCGCATGCAAAGTCATAATGCATGCCCTGGAAGCCAAATTCCCGACCTTGACAGATCCGTCTCCAGATATGCTGCTCATGGGCGAAATGGTAAGCCATCCGCTTACAGACTAGTGCCATCCGGCCAAAGGCTGATGGGTCGTCCATCGCCACATGTCGCAGAATCTCCACTAGCACTTCCGACGGCACAGTGGCGATTGGGCAGGGGGGCGGCGGTGTGTTTTCGACGATGGGATCCAGCTGTGAAATTGGCAGGTGTGCAAATGACGCAATAAGTTCAGGTGTCGGGAGGATTGGTACATCTGCGGGCTGTTGGGTCACGGCGGTAGGGGTAGTAGGCGCGGGCTGATTCGGATTCTTCCATACATGGGCATAGTGCTTATTCCGGTAGGACTTATCGACAGCGGAATCTAGCTGAATAGAAATGAGTATTTGCGTCGTAAGTGCCATTTCTAGCAGTCAAAACCCACCCTATATGCCTTGCGGTAATGCGAAAGACTGTCTCCCAAGTTGCCTTCGGCCTCCTTCTCGACCGCTCGTTCAAAGTGTTCCAGTGCAGACGTTGGTTCTGCGACATCTCGGCGTGAGAAATCATCTTCGGGTGGTTCCACACTCAGTTCCCCGACTTGATGCGCAAGCTCATCGGGGTCAAATGAAGCCAGTGGGGGACCCTCCTCCTCGATCTCTTTGCGGTCAGAGGCCTCATGGCGTGTGGGCGGAAGACGAGTCGGAGGCGGGGCAGTCGGAGCCGGAGTTGCAGGAGCAGCAGGGGCAGCTTTGGGTTTTGATCGACGAGTGACCTCCTCGCGCCACTGTTGGCGGAACGACTCAAGCTCGTCGTTGTCGTCCATAGCGAGGTAGTGATTGGAGGGCGTTCTCATCCAGACATCCACTGATATCTCCAGGCGATGATGACACACGCCGATCTCGGGAGGCTTGGCATCCCCGGCTTTTTCAAGCCTCACATAGGAGTCCTCTTCAAGTCACTGTTTATTGTATCTAACACGAGATATTGCATAATATAAAGCATTGGAATCAATTTGCGCATCAATCCTCCGTCAAATATACTCCCTAGCCCTTTTGCCCTACTTCACTTTTCATAGCCAATGAAAACGTGTGTGGCTACATTGCCAAGCTAGGTTCTTAATTTGGAGTCAGGACCTATGTCTGCCTTACCAAATGGACTACCGAGAAAGAAGTAAAGCTAACTATGCTGTATAGAGACACGTGATTGTTGCGTTTGGGAACTTAAAGGCATCCACGATCCACAATATTCATGCTACCAATACTGCAGATGAGATCTCAAGATGATGACTACTTTCAAAATGGCTTTTGAGTCGAGTAAATTCTCGGTCTTGGCTCGCAAGATCTTTGAACCTGTTTCTCAAACATCGAAGTCTCTTGATTCACACCAGACAACAGAAGAGCCAGACTTTATTCTACCGGAGGTTTCCAGCCCGTTTCGCTTAGGGACACTTTCAGTGCATACAAAGTGATGAGGAAATTAGGCTATAGGTAGTGTTCTACCGTTTGGTTAGCTAGCTCGCACGATAGCTTCAAGCGAGAAATTCTCGAGAGCTTATCCGATATTGCTAGGAAGAATGGAGTCCGACACTTTATGCTACATCTTCAGGGTCAATTCAAACACAGAGGTCCAAATGGACAGCATGTATGCCTTGTGTTCGATGCGCAAAATATGAAGATGGGATAGTGCAGTAAGAACTATAGCACGACAGCTTTTACTCGGGTTAGATTTCTTCAATAGAGATCTAAAACCCACCAATATACTACTCGAGCTGGAGCCTCGGTTGCCTTGCGCGTCTTCAATCTACCGGCTCGAAATACGACGAGGATGCCTGACTGAAATTCCCATTCTCATCGACTTCCTTCAAGATAATGCTTACAATTGACCCTGATCGAAAGCCAGGTGCAGAGCTTCCGGAACATGAATGGCTCAAATTATGACTATTACGTTCGAATGCCAATTGGAGCGAAAGGGGGTGTTGGATCCAATGCCACTTGTTAGCAAGGTCTATATTCTATAGAATGATAGCCAAATATATCCTGAGGTTTCACTTCTATGCTACTAGTATACATGTTATAGGCGATGCACCGGCTCAATTTCTACCCAACATACGTAAACACCTATTAACCCAGGAAATATGGATACTTCAACTCTTCAGAATCTATAGAAACCCCACTACATAAGGTCCACTATTGATCTTCCCTTTGGTCGAGCCGAAATAGCCTGTTTCGCCTCATGTCCGACCTCGGAGATCAGATCAGATTGATAAGCCGTATGAAGAAGGTCTAAAAGAAACAGCCAAACCAAGTTGTCACAGAATCAAACTCATTGAAGCCAAACAAGATCAGAAATCGTTAAAAATCACGTCCCTCTAGCCCCTCCAGGTCCCCCCAAATCACCAAAATCTCCCCCAACGCTTATCTCCGCCCACCGCCACCCGCGAGACCCCGAAAAACTTCCAAGGTTCCTCTTCCCGGTGACGCATCATTTTTCTTCCAACACAAGCTCAAAGAACTCTGGACTGTTTCCTCATCGAATTGATTGAATGCCACACGTGGAACTTGCTTCAGGCCACAGTACTGGCAATCAGTTCGGCACAGACTCAACAGCTTCTCTAGAGACGTCATGGGCCGCGCAGTTTGAAGATTCCACAATGGCCACTACATCCGGGACAGGCTCTCCTCCAGCGCCCAAGACCCCTGTTCCAACAGATAACATTACTCCCGGGCAGCGGATGGTGTCTGCGACCGCCGGCAATGTCTTGACCGGGCTTCTAGGTTAGTCGAAAGAGCTCGTGGTCCTTGGAATCCAGCACTAACAGCTCCAGTGACACCCTTGGATGTCGTCCGAGTCCGTTTACAATCACAATCTCAGGTCCATAGCGCTTCACGCTTTACCTCCCACACCACCCAAACCTTGAAAAACTTTCCTCCAAATCTCGGTATCACCTCCTGCTGTCGCGAAGTCTTCTGGGTCGGAAACGATGCCCAGATGTGCATGCTAGGGCCGCAGGCGACCGCGGTCGGAACAAATCCACATCCGGCGCTGGATTGCGCGGTCGAAGAATCGCAGCGGCGAACATTCACATCGACTATAGACGGACTACGGAAGATCGCGCGCAATGAAGGAACTTTGACACTGTGGCGAGGGTTGAGCCCGACCTTAATGATGGGAATCCCCGCCAATGTCATCTACTTTGCTGGCTATGACTGGCTGCGCACAGATGAACGGAGTCCCATCAAACAGCAGGTGTCTGAAGGTTATGCGCCCTTGATAGCGGGGTCCTTGGCTCGTGTCGCAGCGGCGGCAGCGACCAGTCCGCTGGAGATGTTCCGGACACGTCTCCAGGCAACTCCGGGAACGGGTGCGGACCACTTCAAAAATACTGTGGAGGATTTATACCATATGACGCAGAAGAAGGGATATAGCTCTCTCTGGCGAGGGTTCACTCTTACCATGTGGCGCGATGTTCCTTTCTCTGGGCTCTACTGGTGGGGATACGAGGAGGTGAAGAAGGTTCTGATCGCGGCGCGTCAGAAGGCCCCTCTTTCCGGTTCTGCTCACGAGCCTGAAGAGTCAAGTCTCCAAGCTTTCCTCGATAGCTTCATTTCCGGGGGTATTTCAGGATCCGTAGCAGCACTTGTTACTACGCCGTTCGATGTTGGTAAGACGCGACAGCAAGTTTTCCGACATATGGACGATGTTCCTCATACTGGCGCCGCCCCTCATACGGCATCACCCGGCACACTAGTGCCAGAGCAACTATCCTTACCAAAATTCCTTATGCACATCTTCCGTGAAGAAGGCACCGCCGGCCTATTCCGCGGTTGGACGGCGCGATGTCTAAAAGTTGCCCCGGCCTGCGCCATCATGATCTCAACCTATGAGCTTGGAAAGCGCATGGCCCGAGAGGTCAACGAACTGCGACACTCTGACG